ATCGATATTCGATTTTCGGTACTGATTTACTCTTTCATTTCTCTACAAGAAAAAAAATTTATACGACTCGTTCATTTATCCGCGTTAATTTGATGAATAAATTAAATATTGATCGGTCTTCAATTTTCGGTACTGATTTATTCTCTCATTTCTTTATAAGACAAGAAAAATTGATACGAATCATTCGTTTATCCGCGTTAATTTGATGAATAAATTAAATATTGATTAGTCTCCAATTTTCGATACTGACTGATTCTCTAATTTCTTTATAAGAGAATAAAAATTGATACGAATCGTTCTTTTATTCGACTTAATTTGTTGAGTAAATTAATGGGGTAAGTACCTGCAAAATGAAAATAACTTGTCATTGCACTTGGACAATTTTCTTGATATTGATTTATGGTATTGACCAGTTTTCGGCTTTCGGTACTAATTTATTTTCTCATTTTTTATAAGACAAAAAAAATTGATAAGAATCGCTCATTTATCCGAGTTAATTTGTTGAATAAGATTAAAGGGGTAAGTACCTGAAAAATGAGAACAAGTTGTCATTGCACTTGGACAATTTTCTGACACTGATTTACGGTATTGATCGATATTCGATTTTCGGTACTGATTTACTCTTTCATTTCTCTATAAGAAAAAAAATTCATACGAATCGTTCATTTATCCGCGTTAATTTGATGAATAAATTAAATATTGATCGGTCTTCAATTTTCGATACTGACTGAATCTCTAATTTCCTTATAAGAGAATAAAAATTGATACGAATCGTTCTTTTATCCGACTTAATTTATTGAGTAAATTAATGGGGTAAGTACCTGCAAGATGAAAACAACTTGTCATTGCACTTGGACAATTTTCTTGATATTGATTTATGGTATTGATCAGTCTTCAGTTTTCGGTACTGATTTATTCCCTCATTTTTTTATAAGACAAAAAAATTGATAAGAATCGTTCATTTATCCGAGTTAATTTGTTGATTAAGATTAAAGGAGTAAGTACCTGAAAAATGAGAACAAATTGTCATTGCAGTTGGACAATTTTCTGACACTGATTTACGGTATTGATCGATATTCGATTTTTGGTACTGATTTACTCTTTCATTTCTCTATAAGAAAAAAAAATTCATACGAATCGTTCATTTATCCGTGTTAATTTGATGAATAAATTAAATATTGATCGGTCTTCAATTTTTGGTACTGACTGAATCTCTAATTTCTTTATAAGAGAATAAAAATTGATGCGTATCGTTCTTTTATCCGACTTAATTTGTTGAATAAATTAGTGGGGTAAGTACCTGCAAGATGAAAACAACTTGTCATTGCACTTAAACAATTTTCTAACACTGATTTATAGTATTAATCAATATCCGGTTTTCGATACTGATTTAGTCTTTGATTTCTCAATAAAAGAAAAAAAGATTGATACAAATTGTTCATTTATCCGCGTTAATTTGATGAAAAAATTAGATATTGAACGGTCTTCGATTTTCAGTACTGATTTATTTTCTTATTGTTTTATAAGACAAAAAAATTGGTACGAATCGTTCGTTTATCCAAGTTAATTTGTTGAATAAGATTAGAGGGGTAAATATCTGAAAAATGAGAACAAATTGTCATTGCACTTGGACAATTTTCTGACACTGATTTATGATATTAATCGATATTCGATTTTCGGTACTGATTTACTCTTTCATTTCTCTATAAGAAAACAGAAAATTAATACGAATCGTCCATTAATCCGCGTTAATTTGATGAATAAATTAGGTATTGATCGGCCTTCGATTTTCGGTACTGATTTGTTCGCTCATTTCTTTATAAGAGAAGAAAAATTGGTACGAATCGTTCGTTTAACCGAGTTAATTTGTTGTGTAAATTACAGCGATAACTACCTGAAAAATGAGAACAAATTGTCATTGGACAATTTTCTGACACTGATTTATGGTATTAATCGGTATTCGATTTTCGATACTGATTTACTCTTTCATTGCTCTATAAGAAAAAGAAAAATTGATACGAATTGTTCATTTATTCGCGTTAATTTTTTTTTTTATTATATATAAGTGGTCCATGGGACGATTAAATATTCGAATACATGTTGCCGTACCAAAGTTTCCTCTATAATAAACAATTTGACACGTCTGGAGACGCATGATGTATCATTGCCCGCATCCCATTCCCTTCGTCCTGTTTCCCTGTATAAAATGTTGAATTGAAACGTATTAAAAAGTATTGACATTTTGAATATGTCTGAATTCTGAATCTTTTTGATCCGAAGAAAAGGATTGAAAAGTATTAGTTTCCATTAAATTTTACTGCGCTAAATGCGAGGGTCTCTTTCGCTCGGGTGCCTCACCAGGGAAATTTCTCTGGTACGCTAAATCCCGTAAGGCCATCAGTCTTTGTAGTATATCTCGTCGGTGCATAAGGTTTATATTACCTGTACATATATATTTTGAAACATTTTCTTTGGATATTATATCAACGGATTTTGCGTGTCACGTATCCTTCGGACTATACGGACATTATTATTTTGATCATTTTGATTTCTTTGGTATTCATTGAATTATCCAGAACGCACAACTGCCATGTTGAACGATTCAATTGTCGTGTGAAATGTTTCGATTTTCACAAATTCATATAAAATTTTTCATTTTTCGTTGATTTTCACAGAAGTCTTTCACTTTTTATTAGTTCACGCTAGGGAAAAGATTCATAATCGCTGCCCCGAGCAGCTGCAACGCTTTTCGAATCATCTATGTCGGCGCTTTTACTCCTCGGATTTCTGTCATTAATAACTCGATAATTATTGCGAATCTCGCAAAATGGTATGGGACTTTTATGTTTGTCTGAACCCAATCTACCTTCACACTTCGGGTTGGCAGCTAATTACCGGACACTTCGTATGATCTTCATGATATTAATCATACACAATGTCAATTCTTTTTTTTTTGCACATGTTAACATATTAATTCATGTTATAAACGTATAACAAGTGCGAGACCGTGCTTGTCAAGTACGCTATTATGGTTATAGCACGGACATAAACCGCCTAAAAATGGATGTAGCACGGACTGCCACCACATACAGGTTTTACCGCCGAAACCTGAAAGTGGATGTAGCATCGTAATTCCCCTCTCAAAATGCATGCAGATGGCGCCCTTTCCCAGTGCGGAAAGTCGGTGTCGTCGAAAACACCGTGTTGGCCGCTCTCACGTTCCTCTCTGGTCGCATATATTACGATTTTATTTTTTGAGCGAATAACATTCACGATTTACGTTTACCGTATCTGAGAGACGGTATTGTAAAAATTCTTTATTGCAAAAACTCCCCAATAATATTCACGATTCAGACTGGCTCCCCATGGAGCGTATAGGCCCATCTACAATGGCTGCAAGAATAAGGTTGTAAGCGTAAACAGTAAGAAATGGACCAACCATAATCGATTATTCTTATAATAATCGATTGTGGTTGGTTTATTTCTTACTGCTTACGCTTAGAACCTTAGGGCCAGAGCACAGACTTCTGCATAACGCATAATACACAACGCATAAGAGAATCAACCAATTAGAGTTCTTCATTTCTATCCTGAGGAGGGAAATGAAGAAAACTAATTGGTTTATTCTCTTATACGTTATGTATTATGAGTTATGCAAAAGCCTGTGCTCTTGCCTTTATTCTTGCAGCCATTGTAGATGGGCCTGAATGATTGGTTACCGCAAGTTATGCGAACGTATTTTACGCTTCATAAGGAGCCAGCCGCACGTTTACCGTATCTGAGTGACGGTATTGCGAAAACTCCCTATTCATTATCAGCGCTGAAAATTTCAAAAATAATGCCCTCTTATATAATTTGATAAGTATTATTGAATAAAAGTCTAAAAGTTCACAAAATACACTTGTTTTTTAAAATATCGCTGAAAAACTGAAAGGCAATTATTTTCAAGCTCTTCTGGTAAAGGGATAAATTTCAGGATAATTCTATATTACGTAATTCGACGAGTAGTCGATTTCGATTACGTAATACTATCGAATACAATTCAAAAAGTTCACAAAAACGTCTGATTCAGTTCGATGGTTTTGGCTAAATTTTGCGAAGATTGATAAAATGTGGTTTGAGTTTCAGCTAGATTAGTCGAGATTCAAACTACAATTTATCAGCCTCCATAAAATTTAGCCGAAATTTGAACACTGCATGTATATGTTCAAATTAAAATAAAAAGTTTGTTTTCAAGCAGTATAAATTTATGTTAAAAAGAATGTTAAAAAGCAGTATAAATTTATGTTAAAAAGAATGTTAAAAAGAATATTTAAATATACAATTATTACAGGAAGTTCAATTAAAAGAAACAAACCTGATATTTTATTTTTATTTTTCTGTACTACAATATTTTTGCAAGAAAAATTTTAACTTAATACATTTTTGTATACAGATTTTTGAAATTTAAATATTCTGTTTCAATTAAGTATCAATATATATTATCGAAATATTTTTAAATATGAATTTATGGATCATCTTGTATTAATAATATGGTTGATATAGGTGATATATATTTTAGAACAGTAGCAGGTTAATAGAGTAGTAGGGTTCTTTGTTACATTTATTTCATATAATTGTTTTATATAAAAACAATAAATTATTAAAATAGGTTTTAGAGTAAAGTAACAGAAAAAAATATATATACATTTATCAGTACTCATTTGTACTTAATATAATATGTAAAAATGTAATTATTCTATTACCTATTATTATTCATATATTATGACAAATCAGTCTAAAATTTTAATATATTAATATATTTTAATATACAATTATTCTAATAATTGTACTTAATTCTTGTAATAATTATATATATCTGTTATCTTCTATTGTAAAAATATTCTTATCAATTCTTATAAATAAATATTTTGTAATACAACTAACATTATTTAAGTACAAATATGAGAAAAAAAATAAATATAAATCTAAGAGAAAAATTGATTAAATTTAGTATTAAAATAGCTACAAAACTGTCCAATGATAATGTTAAAAAGTTATTTCTTAAAACTGGACAATTAATTAAATTAAAAACATTAAGTACATCAAAGGAGATTATCATTAATGCTCTTTACTTCTTGGTGATATCTCTTTCTTACGTATTCTTTCAAACAAAGCCCATGTTATGTTACCAGGTATTCTCTGATGTTTCCTTATTAAATCTCTGAGAGAATCAGCAACCTAAAAGTATATTTAAAAAACAAAATTTTTTTTTTACGAACGCTATCGTTAAGAAGCAATATATTTCATATATCTATTTATACATATTATATCTTTCTAATTATCTACCTTTGTTTTCAAATCTTCAGGTGTGAGACTTCTATCATATGGGATCGGCTCACCTACATACGTTATCATCTTTACTGGAAAGCCACCATAGACTGGTGCTATTGGCAATCTTGTTCTGGCATATATTTTTGACCACATCCTTCTTCCCCAACTTACTGTTCTAAATGCTTCTCTAACATTCTTCGTAAAAAGTGGTACTATACTCTAACAAGAATACATCTTACAGTGGAACCCAAATATAAAATATACAATATCTTATGGAAACGTACCACTTTTGCATCAAGGGCCACCTTGGCAAAACCCACTCTGTTTTTCCACATGAGTTGATAATAAGAATCGCCAAATTGAGCTTCGTATACACCACCCGGAGAAATAGCAAGCATATTTCCATCTTTTAAAATATTAGAACATGTTTGAACAGTACCAGGTATTACTCTCATAACATCAGTAAGTATAGACCATCCAGGAATATTAAAGAGAAATCGATCTGCTACTGTATGGACTAGTCTTGAATTAAATAGAAATATTTTGGCTATAAAATAATATAGATCAACTGGGAGAGCTCCATGATAATATACAAATAATACTGGTTTATCTTGTGGGATATTTTCTAAACCCACAACTTCATATCCTGCAAAGAAAATATATTCTTTATTTAGATTATTAGATTATATATTTCATTATTATCTTTGTGCTATTGGCAAATAGATCTTTTCGCAAGAAATTTATACACAAATAATACAAGAATAATACATCTAATCTGTTTAGTAAAACTTTCATGCTATATGATATATAGTTTTATGTGTTAAATATTTTATGTATTAAATAGTTTATTAAGCATACCATGCCAAATCCATCCATGTGCATCCCAGACAGCTGCAACTGTATAACGTGCTGCATTTCGCCAGTCAGTACCATAGGCATTTCTTAGCTTAACCCTGAAAAAATATAAATATTGTATAAACTAAAAGATATATGTTTCTTAATATGAAAGTTTTATATTAAAAAAAATTTTCATACAATACATATTGAACAAAACTGATCTGCAAATACATATTAAAACAAAACTTATTGTTTTGAAAAATATATTATATTGTTGAAATGTTACTAGTAATAATTGTTAACTTGTTAATTACATTATAATTAATAGCATATTATAACTCTTTCAAACCTGTGCAACTTGTAGACATATAATATCAAGCAATTTAAATATAGTAGCAGTACGATCGCAAATGGTAGTAGAAATGTTATAAAAAATGGCATTAACAGCCATGACAACCATGTAAAATCCACATCAAGATATTCAGCTGAAAACAATGCAAAATATATATCTTTAAAACTTATTGGATTATCAACAAATGCATTAAATGTTATTTTGTAAAAATACATTCTCTATTAAATATAAAAATTATAAGATGTAAAGACTTTTAAGCGTGCAAACTACATCTAGAATAACAAATACATTATGAATGAATACATTGCTATAAAAATACAGTAATGTTAAGATAAAATTATACTTATTCAAAGATTATATAAAAAGGTAAATAATATATTTACCTATGATATTTTCTATTATTGACCATATGTCGTTCATAATGGAAAACATGTTTATGAGAAATTAGTGTGAAGAATAGAGTGTATTTTAGTAAAATGATTTTAAATCTGATATTTTTAATGTGGAAAATACCGACATATTCACCGTTACTTATAAGAAATTATAGTTTCGATAATTAATTTGATGTGTCATTTCTGCCTATTCAGTATACGTAACACTCATTTAAATCTTAGAACAGTTTTTTCCGGCATTAAACTCAATGAACCGTTATCGACTGATTAACATTCGTTCTATATTATCATATGTATACTCCGTATCTATTCAACGTCTACTGTTTGGGCTGCGTTTCGATTCACTGCCAGTACTAAAAACGTATAGTTTATGTCACATATACTATAGATTTTCAATGTTGGCAGTGAATATCGAAACGTAACCTTCATGGTCATGCCACTAAACAATATATACATTCTTTACCTCGTTGTATTGTCGTCGTACAATTTGAAAATAAAAAGATCATTCGATCTACTATTGATTCGTAATGCTCGAAAACCAAATGATGCCTCCGATATGTCGTTCAATAGTTACTGCTTGTATAATAAAATACAAGAGACCGTCTGATATATCGTTGAGTCGCATCACTATCCTGATTTCTGCCGGTAGAAACCGGACGCCCCCCCGTAACGGCTCTACATCGATTCACAAGTCGACATCGCCCATCCCTGGTAACAGGCATCGTGTGCAAACGCACATCTATGTAATCACACTGCGTGACTCACGTACGCACGAGAAGTGGAGTATGTGTAGTGACTGTATTGACTGTAGTGTGTAGTACACACACACAGAGAGATGATACGGATTTTGCAATTGCAGTCGTTCCCCAGTATTGTCTCGCTTTGATGCCGTTGTCCGTAATGCAGTTTCGCCAACGGCAATGTTATTCATCGTTCGTTTAAAATCGGCAGATAGCAAGTAAGATCGCGCGAATGATATTTAATTGCGGAACGACGACTCGTTGATGCTCAACGTGCATGCGCTGTCGTGGAAGGACAATCTCACACATTCGTGAATGCAATTGTACATTATTCGGGACACGTATGACGAACATTAGCAGTTTTATTTTACCTGCATCTCGGCAATAGGAATTGGCCAGATGAAGGTAAATCATCGCTGTACTCGTTAAGCGGTAGATAATATTGTCGTAAACGCTCATGGGGATTAGACATGACAAAACTCAACATGAATTACGTGCATGGCGTTTTGTTTGTTGTTATTGTCATACAGATTTTCTGTTTGTTTTCTTCGCACTTAAACTGGTTGCAATAACTGGTAATTTGATCTTAATTACATGCTAATATACTGATGGAATTTTTTTGTATTTGAATGCTTTCTTTGTGGTAATTTTGTAATCTTTTAAATGCAATATTTTTTTTAAAGAAAATATATCTATGCACGAATATATGAATAGGACAACTGAAATAATGAAATATTTTATATGTCAATAAAAATAAAATTTAATGCAAATTAATAGTAAGGAATCAAAATATTCTTTGAGTCAAAACTTTTCTAAAATTTTATGTACCGCTTTTATAATATATTTTCTGTATTTACAATTACAAAATAGTGTACAATAAGAATACAATATAATTGATATTCTATAGATAATGTCAGACGATGATGCTGCATTGGACTCAATGGATACTGAAGAAGAAATCTTTTGTCCTCGCACTCGTAGCTTGGAGTCAAATGTCAGGCGATCTAAAAACTTGCGCAAGCTGAGATCGCATTCTGGCTCTACATCACATATAAGTGTACGTCGTAGTACACGTAATAGGATGCAAACTTATGACAACCTTAATACAAGTTGGATTTTAGGTATAGATTAGTCATATTTTATATATGCATAAAGAGTGTTATATTTGATAATAATGCAACAAAACGCTGAAAAATATTTGTAAAAATGCACAGGAACACAAACTTTAAAAGGATATCCAATGTTTCAACAACATGCTTCTTCATCGGATAAAGAGATAGATGATGTTCCTGGTAGAAAACGTGATCTCAGAGATCGAATGCCTTTAAGATCTCGTGAAAACCATCCACCTAATAAAAATTCAACAAGACACATTAGAGATAGAGCAGAACATGATCGACAAAATAGTAGAGAGCTCAGAGGTCGACTTAGAGCTAACTCAGAAGCAGAACTTAAAGAAAAGACAGAGCAAGAGAAGGATGTTGCTACGGAACAACCAAGGCCGACAAACGAAGAAAAAGATACTAGGTATGTATTTCAATAAAATGCACAATGGAATAGAATGTAACGGAATCTATAATCAATAATGTTAATTTTGATCTTAACATATTCTTAGGACAAGAAAGTCCGACAGTCCAAGCCGATTTCGAGAAGGTCCTGTAACCAGACTATGTGGAAATATAATCGAGAAAAACGAAAAGCCTAAGGTAGAGCAGGATGAAGCAGATGATGATAGTTCACGAGAAAGTGAAAAACCAGATAATAACGATAACTCTGAAAATGAAGATGTAAGCTATTTTTTATGACATTTTCTTAGAATATTGTTTACCCAAGTATTTAAAATTTTGCATCAACATACGCATTCTCATTAACTATTTATAACTGTTAGTCAAATGATGAACTATGAGCTTAAATAGCTAAGATTGATCAATATTTTATATTTCCATTTAATTATATTTAATCGTTCTATTTTTTTTTATAATACATAGGGATACGAGGACATGTATACGCGCATTAAGAGGACAAGACGAACGACTCAACGACAATTACCAAGGGGTAAGATATTTTGAAGATTTACTGTGTATATATAGTGCTAAAGGATTCCAAGTATATTTATTTATTCTATTTTCCCAGAATATGTAATATATTTAATGTATTTCTTCAATTTCTTTTTTGTTTATATATAGTGCAAGTAGACAGTGATATGAGTGAATCTTCGGATTCTCCCGGGCCTAGGAAATACAGTTTACGTCAAAAAAAACCTACTGTAGATAGATTTCAAGCCAATGTAGAGCCAGTTCGGCGATCTATTAGAGCTCTTAGAAGTGTTCTCAGTAATTCAATGAGAAGGAGAAAACATAGAGCTAAAACTACGAGTTCTAGTGATTCTAGCGACTCTGAGCCTCAACGTTATGACAAGAAGAAAGGCAAAAAAGCGAGGTAGTTATTTATATCGTGAAACATTTTTCTTAAATACATAGTTTCGGTAACGATTTTCTTAATATAAATATTAAATATTCTTACAGACAATCAGCGATACCACAAGGTGGTCCACCAGATCGAAAAGCTGACATAAATCCTATCACCTTAGACACTAATATTAGATTTAGCGACGTTGGGGGCTTAGAGTCCCATATTCACTGCCTTAAGGAGATGGTTATCTTTCCTATGATGTATCCGGATGTTTTCGAAAGGTTTCACATCACCCCACCAAAAGGTGTCTTGTTCCATGGTCCACCAGGTATTCAGAGTATACTTTTATTTTTTCAAGGTATAATGAATGTGAAATCCTCAATATTCAACTCGAAAATTTATTCAGGGACCGGTAAGACGCTAATAGCCCGAGCGTTGGCCAATGAGTGTAGTCGAGGTAACAAAAAGATGGCATTTTTCATGAGAAAAGGAGCTGATTGTCTATCAAAATGGGTCGGAGAATCGGAACGTCAATTAAGATTGTTATTTGAACAGGCTCAGCAGATGAAACCGTCCATAATATTTTTTGATGAAATAGATGGTTTAGCGCCTGTCCGAAGCACTAAGCAAGATCAGATCCATGCTAGTATTGTGTCTACGCTCTTAGCGCTCATGGATGGTCTCAGTGATAGAGGAGAGGTAATTACAGTAATGCAGAAATTCCTCGTAGTAGCATTCTTTATTGTAGAATTTTGTAATTGTATATTCTTGTTTAAAAAAAAAAGGTTATAGTTATTGGTGCAACGAACAGAATCGATGCAATCGATCCAGCTTTGCGAAGACCTGGCCGCTTTGATCGTGAACTTTTCTTTCCGCTACCAGCCATGAAGGAAAGATTAGACATTCTGAAGATCCATGTGAGTAAATGGCAAAATCCACCGTCTGATCAGTTATTGGAGATACTTGCGGAAAAGGCTACTGGTTATTGCGGTTCGGATTTGAGAGCATTATGTACCGAAGCAGTGCTTCAAGGATTAAAGAGAACCTACCCGCAAATCTATATGACAGATGACAGATTGTTGCTGGAACCGGAGAAAGTCGAGGTACGTTTCGTTTATTAGAAACTATTATATATCGACGACTATAAATTTGTTTATTTACTCTTATAATTTGTCTATTTACTCTTATAATTTGTCTATTGTTATTAATGAACAGGTGCAAAAACGTGATTTCATGCAAGCAAGCTCTATTCTTGTGCCATCATCGCACAGAGTCGCACCATGTGCAGGGAGAAAACTGCAACTTTTTATGAAACCACTACTAGGGCCTCCGCTAGAAGAACTAATTATATTAGTAAAAGGAATATTCCCTCAAGGTGTAAATCCCGCCATGGCAAAGTAATTATATTTTTTACATATACATGTAATGTTATAAAACAATAGTAATATCGATATATTCGATACGATTTTCTTGAACTATTATTTACATACTACTTTTTTTCTTCTAGGGTGAAGCATGCTAAAGGTATTCATCGTCCAAGAGTACTAATTTCTGGTGGCAATCTATCTGAAGGTCAGGGGCCACATTTAGCCCAAGCATTATTATATTGTATGGAACATTTACCTGTTCAGATCTTAGATGTCAGCACGTTATTCGCAGAAAGCGCTCGGTCACCAGAAGAAACTTGTGTGCAGGTAAAATAATATTGATATATAAAATTAAATATTTTTACGCTTTTGTCTAAAATTTATAAAATGCCTTCACCTTCATAGTAATTGAAAATAATAAGTAAAGGTAATTCTTCGTCCATATTTCTGAAAATTGATAAGTAAAATAACGAGTAGGAGTAGCTTTATCTTATGGTTTTATTTTAGGCTATTGTGCTTTTTAGGCTATATGTGCATATAGGGTTCAAATCTTATGTTTTAATCTTAGAGAAAGAGAATCTTACTTTCTACTCCAATATGTTACAGGTATTTAATGAAGCTGCTAGAAACGTCCCGTCCATAATTTACATTCGGTCGATCGATCAGTGGTGGCCTCTCGTACCGGAGACAGTGAAAGCAGTCTTCCTGTGTCGTATCGCAGCGCTAGATCCTTCATTGCCGATTTTAATTCTCGCCACAAGCGATGCGACGTATCAAGATCTCCCTAACCAGTTAAAAAACTTGTTCAGCGAATTACGCGGCGAAGTGTACTCTATGAAAACACCCACCACTGAGCAAAGGAAAAAATTCTTTCGACCTATATTTATGGTTCAGAGTGTAAGACAGCCACGGATCAAAAGTAACAAAGTAGACGTCTTGGAAACACTGCCACTAGCGCCAGATCCACTTCCAAAAAAACTGACGGAAGAGGAGAAACAAATCATGTACGAGAAAGACGAGGTTTCTCTAAGAGAATTACGAATTTTCTTGAGAGAAATTTGCGCTAAACTAGCGAGAAATCGACAGTAAGTTATTCAATAGATTAGCCTTTCACCTACTCTCTTTCTTCTTGCAACGTTTTTAACTTGAATACTGAATTTCAGATTCTTCATGTTTACGAAGCCAGTCGATATAGAGGAGGTGCCGGATTACAACCTGATAATAAAACAACCGATGGACTTGGAGACGATGATGACGAAAATCGACATGAATTGTTATCTGTGCGCCCGTGAATTTCTCGACGACATCGATCTCATATGTAGAAACGCTCTGGAATACAACCCGGACAGGTTAGTGACTCAAATGAAAAGTATAACTTTATGTTACGGGAAGATATCGTTACTACGTGCGAACTAGAACGAATCAGGGGAAAAAGTGCTACGAGTCAAAGTATCTCCATTACAGCTGTTATTGATATTTTCATATTGTGTATCATAAGGTTTCATCTTTAGCGATATTGTGCTCCTCTTCTATACTGACATTCATATTGTATGTTTTCATGTCAGCTTACGTGATAGGCCTTCCCTCGGGATATTAAAGAGGTAGTTCAGCTTTTCCTGTTTATCCGTTGCTGTTATCGCTGCGTAGACAATAGTGGTTTTCAATTTAGAACGCACCATATAATCGTCGATGTTTTGCTAGACACACCATTATGACTAATTCACAATGCATCATTGAAGACCACTCCCATTAGTTCGTCGTGCTTTCAATGGATGGAATGCTAGAATCTGTTTATAATCAGTCTTGTATGCGCCGCTAATACGCTAATTGCTCTCGCCCCATAGGGATCCCGCGGACAAGCTGATAAGACATCGGGCATGTTCCCTGCGCGACAACGCTTACGCTTTGATAAAAGCTGAGCTGGATTCTGATTTCGAGGATAAGTGCCGCGAAATATCCAAGAATCGTCGGATCATAGAGAATAATTGTAACAACGAGGAAGAGAATAAAATCGTAAAGACGGAATCTACTTCGACGGGTGAACGAGCAGAGAAGAAAGATTCTGTAAATTCTAGTCATTCTCTCGTCGTAAATGGAAGAAAGTTCGGTAACTCGAGGAAACGTAAGATACCAGCTTGGGCACGAGGTTACGTGAAGAAAGTTCAAAAGAAGAAGAAGATTGCTTTTGACGAGAATGTCATCGAAGTGACGAGTAAATCGTGCAATGAAACCACCAGTATCGATTTAGAAAAGTTTCAAGAATTCGAGACGGAAGCTCATAACGTTTTAAACGGGCATATTGGATTGTATGACAATACCGACTCGGAGAACGACTCGCAAAACGAAAACTCAAAGGAGATGCAGAGAAGTCAGAGTGACTGTATGCTGGACCAGCGGATAGATAATCTTGACCAAACAGAGTCATCTTTCGCGGATGAGGACAAGCCCGTTGGAAATGGGGACTCAAATTCGTCGTCTCGACGCGAAAGCATGGACGAATTGTCGTTCGCGATTGAAAGCGATTCTAGTCGAGATAAAATTGAAGAATGCGAAAAGCTCATAGTCGACAAAAATGAGCTCGAGAACGCATGGCACTTCACAGTCGGAGCGACGAAGGACTTCCCCGTCGAAGTGCTGTGTGACATTTATGTGCAACTAAGCAGATGCGTTGGAAAATATGCTCACAACTATGATAGAAAATCACTGCCAAAGGTAAGCGCATCTCTCTGCGATCGTAAAGAATTGTTTCGTGATAAGATTATCTTTATAGTCATTTTTTATACAAGTTTGGGACAAGTTTTAACGTGTTATCGTTGCTTGTATTGTACGCAGGACTTGCTCAAGGAAGTGGAAAAGTTTGCAGAGTACAAGACGCAGCGTTATTAGAGTATAGTATGCAAATACAGCATTCAATGACAAAATGCCGTATGTTGCTAACACGAGACAAAAACGTGTTATGTAAAATCACTCCACCATAAATATTTTTAGCGACGAGTCAGATTTTCAGTTTCTTTTATATATTTATACTGAACGCAAAATCGAATTATCACTGTTATATCGAACGAAATTTTGGAATGGTATATTTTTCGGTTGTTATACTGCCAAGCTTTACGTGAATAACAGCATGTATTTGCAACAATCGCATTTGTTATATAAAATAGTGGGTAATTAACTTTAGTTGAAGATTGAGTTCTACATACTTAATCAGATTGACTTTTTTTGTATATATTGTAAAAGCGCTGTAAATGATAAACTCAAACGATCACTAGATATCTCGCACGAGGATAAATTACTATTCATGATTACCTATAACTACGAGTAATAAGAGAGAAGGAACTACATTATCGTCTTAATACGTCTTAATGCAATAATTGTTTAGATAATTTTTTTTCTTTTTTAGCAGGAAGTTCGACTTCAACCTGCGTCTATGCATATATGTTTCTTTATCTTAATTACCATCCCTATCATCACTTTTCATCATCATTTCGCTGTCATTTTTATTTTCATCACAGCAGAATAATTATATTATTGCTATAATTATTATTAGAATAGTTTTTATTAGTGTTATCCTGATTTTATTACTGTTTTATCATCAAGATTATATCACTATTATTTACATGACCCAGTCACATGTGAGACAAAAACTATAACAGACATTATTGCATAATATTCCTTCGGTCACGTGAACTTTTCGTTTGAGAGAGCGCTCGTAAAAGATTCTTACTCAAGATAAAAAAAATTATATGAAAATATTGTTTTTGTCATATCATTTTAAAAATTCTTTTAAAATTATGTATATATGAAATGACACATATAAAAACACGAAAACGCAGGAATTGGTACATTGTGTACTTAACTATTGTTGTTTTGGTCATTTTCACCGAACAGACTGTTAACACGATGTAATGATCTTACACTATTTTAAATTATTTAGATCTTATATATTTGCAATATTTAACGTTTTGTTATATTGATAAAGGATATGCCACAACAAAAGTGTGGCTTATCCTTTACATATTCAAAAAAAAATTTATAATCGTACAGGGAGAACCGAAATATAAAACGGAAATATATTTCTTGGAATCTAACAATCTAATTAAAATCGAGGTTCTCTCCCTGTGTCAAGATACCTCGCGCTACAGAGTGTATCAGTTCGAATTATTATTAGTATAACATAATACGCTATGCGTAAAATGGCGAATCAGAGGTCATCTTTTTGAGAAAAAATCCACATATAAAGATATAAAGATCTAGATATGATTTACAGAAATAAAATTAACGAAGACGTATTTAAGAAGGAAATGAATATAGAGAGTAAAAGTCTTTCTTAATACGATAATTACAAATAATTAATATTATGAATAATATATTAATATAAGCGTGCAATTAATCTTTATTATACGTATAATAAAGTTTAATTTTGTTATTATATTAATGTATTAATCATTAATAGTAATTATGTATTGTGTACAAATACATAATGTAACAATTAAGAATTTTGTTTGGGTCAGAATCATATTATCCTTCAACTGAGTAATTGAACGATCAACATTCTAATTATGAATGATTCTTTCTCATTTCAACGGCTTCTGATTCAATCCGGCATGAATGCAATTCAATTCGTATTCACGAAGGGGAGTTCGAGATGCGACTAAATAATCTGTAAATTAAATAGACCAAAGTCGTAAAAAGTATAAGGGTTTAATCATTGAAGACGAAAAACAAGACACTATTACACATGCATATATTACTATAAATGTAAAATACTCTCTCGATGAAGCGCTCGTTTTACAGTGGCGGTTGGTTAATCACGTTATGTGTTAGTGTCTCAAGTCGTCTTCAAACATTAAATCACTTTGAGACCACGCAATTCATTGTTCATAAATTAAATCTTCGAGTAGGCATCAGCAAATAATAAACATTAAAAACATTTGAGCGAAAACTTTAGGAAAACTAAGGAATTCTATGCAAAAAAGGATGACTCTGATTCGTTAGAATTTGAAACAAATGATTGATTTGAGAGTCTGAATTAGACAATTACCAATTAAGACGTTGACTTTCGATTGATCTGAAGTATGTTATCTGGCTGAAGTATGAATATCTGGCTGTCGCTTTATGAATTGTCCCGGAACTGTCGCACTTCCTTCCATGTTTTGTTGGTTTTATGTTAACCTTATTAACACTTTCGATACGGCTATGTCGTCCGCGAATATGCTTCCGCTGTACTCGAGTCGCGAATAAAATTCTATTGTACGGGTCAGTTACAACATACATTTTACCATGGAATGGGTATATCATTTGATGTTTGGTGAAATAATGTAAATTACAGATAAATTGTTCACAAAGAATGAGATATTACAATGTAATATATTTCAAATTATTCATATTTAAAAAATTGCTCAATAATACAATTTCGACGATGGATGACTATAGTCACCGGTAGTATCGAAAGGGTTAATATAATTTATATTTTAAAGCTGAATTCTATAATCTATATTTTGAAGCTAAATTCTAGATATTATTTTGTTGCTCTTTTAATTATTTATACTTCCAAAGTTATCAATGTCTCGGGTTCAAACGTCGTAAGGTTCTACTCGAATTTACTTCGTGTTTGAAAAATGATAATTTCACAGCTAATGCTTCTAATATCATATAAATCTATCGAGTTCCTATCTGTAAATAGGGAATTTGTATGATAGGAGAGAAAGTAAAATTGATTGATTGGCATTACTTCAAAATTAAATAGAGACGATCAGAGCAGCGAGATTAAAACGACTGCTGTCCTTTCCATTTAATCTGAAATTCACGCGCTCTCGAGAGGAACTGCGACCTTTCTGGTGGACTCTGTGTGTACATGTGTGTGTATAAATATTAGTAAATATTAAGCGTATAACTTGCCTTCCAGATTCGTGTATTGGTTGTGATTTGCTATAATTGCGAACGATTAGTTACCAAACAAAGTCGAGCACGCGACGAGATGACAACTCGTTTCGTTTCAAGATGTTTCGAGCAGCCTAAATAGCAGATTATCTCCGTTAACAAAACCGTTCACAAAATACTAATATGACTGTCGACGTATACAGGGCGCAATTGATCCATTCTCTGCCGTTCGCACCATACGATCGGATAGGTCAAATTCTAGGTGATAAACTTTATCGATAAAACACTCTTATGTGATCCACGAATATCTTTCTTAGGAATAATGTCATTGGTATATATATCGAAATGTGACTTCTTAGTTAATTCGCTGCGCGAAATTGCGCGGTCGTGGCGTAATGTACTAATTTCTTTGTTAGTAGCATATCTGTTTTGCGATGCGCCAGACGCGCATCCGTATAGTACATATATCCGTATAGTTACAGCGACATTCGAAATTTCATAGTCAGCGAATTCATTTCGTTCGGCGATTGACTGTCCGTCGAGAAATTCGATTGTATTACATACGAAATTCTTTCTAGTGAGTAGAATCGAAAAGACTGAGGACTTTAGGAACGCTTTTGCTCTTGTTTTTTAGCGTTTGTGTCGCGTGTATGTGAGGTCTTACACGTTCTCGATTGAGCCTCGATTAGAGGATGAAAATAAAATGAAAAGGAAGGACAGGCAGACGGAAAAGTCACTGTCTACAGTGGTCACGTACGAATTATCACCGATTCTCTTGCTCGTGCGATGAAATTCCGAATCAGTGACGAATCGCAATAAGCGTCCGGTATTTGCCAAAGAATTAACGACAGATAATGCTCTAGCGAAACTCTTCTCTTTTCTCTTTTCTCTTCTCTTATAGTAGCCGTCGGATAAGACGTTAAAGTAACACGCACAGAAAAGTTACATCCGCGGGCAACGTAGTGAAGTGCGATCACGTCGTATCAGCGAGCGGACGTGATTTTTCTGCCTTTGTAGCGATACGATATTTTACATTCCGCTTGTGAGACAAAAGATTCGAAAACGAAATTACTCGACTTCTATTTTGTTGTATCCACGATCCGTTCCCGGTGCTACTTTCGGACGTACTACCACCTCTCTGTACTATCTCTACTGCAATGCGGTGCAATTGCAAATTCGCATATGCGTATATATGTATATGTATAAAAAAAAATATGAAAACGTACATGTGTGTGCGCGCGTGTGTGTATATGTGTGTGTGTGTGTGTGTGTGTGTGTGTGCGTGCGTGCGTGTGTGTATGTGTGTGTGTGTGTGTGTGTGTGTGTGTGCGTACGTGCGTGTGTGCATGGGAACGTACATGTCTCGATTTCCGAGAGATTCTTGCGAAACACTGCCGTTTACGGACGAGCGACCACGACACTCATCTCTCAATAATCGCCCTTAAGACTACTCTCTACGAAGAAAGTCGTCAGCGTATGTTCGAGCTTGCTGTAGCATATCAGGTCCGGCGATCTTTTTCTACTGTGTGACACGACGACGGGGGTAGACGGTAGCCTTAAGAATCTACACACGAAAGGTGTGAAAGGTATGGACGAGAAGCGACGATGCATCCACTGCCTTATTTATTTTACCACATAAGTAATACATTTGATTGTCATACAGTATAGTGAAATAAAGTTTCGTAATGTAACCAGTCCAGCGTGAGGATCTGCGCATCCATCGTCCCGTCCGTCTTTTCTCTTCGGACATTGCGTGATACACAGCTCGCTTATCGTGTCCGTTTGCCGCACGCGAGATTATCACGCGCGTTTTACATGTATCCATCCATGCACAGAAGTTGCAGCAACATTGCTGCGACGTTGTAACAATGGGTCTGTTCTTTATAGCTGCACTGCTGAACCAGTGCAATAAGTAGTTAAAATGAGACAACTATATTTTTTCTCACTCTAACTTATTATTGCGCTCAGTTGAGCAGTGCAGCTACAGAGAACAGACCCAATGTTGCAATATTGCAGCAATGTTGCTGCAACTTCTGTGCTGTACGGGTATGTTTTACTTTTACTTAAACCCCCGCGGAAACATACGAACGCTACTATATCGATACGACGATTCAACCCACACGATTTCCCGTCTGTCAGAGCTGGCGAGACGTCAGGAATAATGAAATTGAGCAGTGAACTCTCGTAATTCCCAAGTAACCCGTGTAAAAATTCCAGTGACAAGATCTCGATCTCGTAAGAATATGCGTATGAATTCCGCGACCCCGCGCCGATAATCCGATCAGTCGATGAACGCGACAATGACATATGCGCGTTGATCGTCCGCGATAAAAGGGTACTTCTCATCAACGAAACCGTCTTCTCTTGGCGAGCAAAGAAAATGTCTAGCGCGAAGGACTTCTCGTGCATCGGCGGGCTGGAGAAGCATATCAGGATCGTGAAGGAGATGGTTTTATTCCCGCTGCTGTACGGAGAGGTGTACGCTAAATTTAATCTTAGGCCGCCACGGGGCTTGATATTCTACGGCCCGCCAGGTAATGTGAAGCGTATCTATTGACAATCGGACTCCACCAGAACGTGCTCCTGCTTTCCGTCAGGAACCGGGAAGACTCTGATAGCCAGCGCGCTGGCGACCGAGTGCAGCAATTCCGAACGCAAGGTCTCTTTCATTTCGCGCAAAGGTTCCGATTGTCTCAGCAAGTGGGTCGGGGAGAGCGAGAAGAAGCTCGAGAAGGTCTTCTCGTTGGTCAGTGCAGAGAGAGAGAGAGAGAGAGAGAGAGAGAGAGAGAAACTTAATTCCTACATAACCCTTGTTACATATTCGTTATCTTACTTATCAGTGCGATCAATTTTTCTACGAATAATGGATTTGATGATAAAAATCAATGATAAAATACAATCTATTTTCTTTTGTTCTTTCTTATTTCCAAGACTCAACCATTTTGCGTAACCGCAGGGTCTAAGATGCGTGAAAGAATGTCACATGCGAAATGAAGAATCACTGATATACCGAAAAGATTCGTTTCAGGCGCAGCAATCGAGACCGTGTATCATCTTCTTTGACGAAGTCGACGGTCTCGCTCCTGTAAGGTCCAGTCGCCAGGACTTCGTCCACGCCAGTGTGGTCTCCACTCTGTTGGCTCTGATGGATGGCTTGGACAATAATTCCGAGATCATAGTGATAGGCGCGACCAATAGAATCGACGCGATAGATCCCGCCCTGAGGAGACCCGGTAGATTCGACAAAGAGCTGTACTTCCCTTTACCTTGTTACAGCGCCAGAAAAGAGATACTCTCGGTATCGTTGAGTTAATAAAAGCCCAAAGATATCCTGATGTCATCCTTAACGCGTGCAAAATTCTTGGAGAACCAGTCCCGAGTATCAATATCTCGCTCACGCTTTAGGATGGTTCCAGGATACTTTGTGCTGTCTAGAAATAATTAAATGTCGAGAAGAGGGAAAGAAGCGGGAAAACTACTGACGTTTCCGTACAATGACACGCAGGTGCACATCAAAAGTTGGAAGCAAAAGCCGGCGCAGAAATTCTTGGCGTACTTGGCGTCGAAAACGTTAGGCTTCTGCGGCAGCGACCTGCAGGCGCTTTGCGCCGAAGCAGTTATGTGCTCCATTCGTAGGAATTATCCGCAAATCTACACTTCGAAATCAAAGTATCACATCAACGAACGCCATCTCAAAGTAAGACAGCCCGCGGCGATCAAAGTTACCGTCTTTCCCGAGCTTCGGTAATGATAAATCTCGTCGAGCGACCGCGCGCGCAACCGAGCGATACAAAATTCAAAGGAATTCTCGCTATATGATAATAATATTTCACACATAGAGTGTGTATTCTTTGTAGGATAAGTTTTCAGTCGAAGGAGAATAAATCCTCTTCGTGAAGGTATTTTCTCACGACACGAAAATCTACCTTACACTGGGAGCTTGCGAAAGCTCGTCGGAAACTTTTGCATGTCGCTGACATGACACTCAATCACATTCAATGCGTTAACGCGATTTCATTCAATTTCTCATCGAGGTCGAGAAGGAAGACTTTTTGAAGGCGCGTCAAAACATCGTCCCAGCGTCACATCGCGTCGTTGTCGCGCCGATCAAGAGTTTGTCAGCCAAGATCCAACCGCTACTACAGGAGGATCTGACGAGCATCTTGTCACGACTGCAAGCACTTTGCCCAGTCGGCATGCTGACTTCGGATAACATGTAAGCGTCGAGAGGTAAACTCTGCAAAGGACGACAAGTCGAAAGTCGAGACACTAACCAAGATGGTGAATGTTAAATACCGCAGCACAGGCAAGGCCACATCGAAGTCGAACGGTTGCCCGCGAATCTTGCTGTGCGGCAACGATGATTCTCACACACGTCACTTGGGGCCTGCACTGCTGCACACCCTGGAACACTTGCCGTGTCACGTCCTGGACGTCACGACTCTGTTCGAGGAGACCGGCAAGGCGGCCGAAGAGGCGATGATACAAGTAGAGTCTATCTCTCACTCCCGCGTAATCATCCTCGGATAAATATCAGAGTTGTTTTGCCATGGTAACAGAAGATGAAGACCGCACGTCGCACTCTACCGGCGTTGCTTTACGTTCCCGGTATCTTGACCTGGTGGGACTTGGTGGACGAGACCGCGAGAGTGGTTTTTACCTCCTTAATGCGAGGCCTCGACCGATCCGTGCACATGCTGGTGCTAATGACCGCCCACTGTCGGCACATCGACCTGCCACCGGAGGTTGCCGCCCTCAAAGGCTTAAACTTTGCTATTCCGTTCGCGACCAATTTCCGTAACATTTGATAAATTTTAAAGACGGTAACTTGACTGGCAAAAACGCTGGAAGTGGAATTTACGGAATTATCGGATTTTAACCATCTTGACTGGTGGAAATACTGTGTGTGTCTTGATATTTCTTGTAATTCAATATTTTTAAAGTTGGATATTTAAATATTTTTGAGGTCACTCTAATGGTGAACTCCGAAATTCAAAATTCAAGATGACGGACGTGTAATGTAATCGGAAATACTGTGTGTCTTGATATTTCTTGTAATTCGATATTTCTAAAGTTTGATATTTAAATGTTTTTGAGGTTACTGTATTTAATGGTGAACTTCGAAATTGAAAATTCAAGATGACGGACGTAATGTGGTCGATTTAAAATCGAAAAAAAAATGTCAAAGTTTTACAAAAATTTTGAGATATTGCACTCTGGAATTTTTGAAGCCGCTCTTGAATGAAGAGAGCCTTCAATGGTGAATTTTAAAAATAAAAACTCGAAATGGCTCGAATTCTCAAACCAATATAGATGACCGAAACAAAGTGTTATTCACATATTATATAACTTCATTATGAATTACAGTTTTTCGTTTTATTGCGATGTACGATGCACGTAGATTCAAATTTTGTGTATTTTCACTATTTAACTTTTTTTCATTTTGATGAAATAAAAATCATGATTGTAGTCGTCATATTGAGTCTACCATTGTAGATTTGACAAATTTTAACTTCACAGTCGTGAACAGCGACTAGACGAAAACTCCTGGACATAAAATTTTAACGACATTGCTTAACTTTCAAGAATCCATTTTTGGCCAGCTCACATACTCTTACGGAATTCAGCTTGCCAGTTAAGGGGTTAAAGGTGAAGACAGTTCGAATGAACATGGACAAAAGGGCAAAACTAATTTTTTGAAAATATTTTCTTGCATGTTCGCTTATATACAGAGCAATGTTGTTAACGAATAAATTCTTAACCACTTATATATACCGTGACCACAGATTAAAGGGATGTACGACGATAATCGAAGTGAAGTGTACGAAGTGAAATCGCCTTCGCCGCAGAAGCGGCGATCTTTCTTCAAGCAGTTGTTCCTCAACGGATCCGACAGGCTATCTGATCGCTCTTCGCAAGGTAGAATCATCTGTCCCAAAATATCATCTACCGAATGATAATTATGTGAAACGATAAATCGGTTCTCAACAATGTACGCAGCGGACATGATACAAATCCTGAGCCCGAGGAAGCTCAAAGGCGAGAACAACAGGAAACTAAGGAGCTTCGTGCGTCCCACCGACTCTAACGGTCTACTAGGTACGTTTGAGAGCGCGAGCTTCGCACAAAAGATTACCGATCGTTAATGCACACCGCGATGTTTTCATAAGAGATTAGCGCGACACGGAACGCTAAGAAGATTAAAGTGAAATCGAATGCGCGAAGCAAGCTCGGAACTGTACGATCCTCGCACTCGACGTCTTCCAGATCTAGTAACTACCAATTGCAATCTCAAAAGCTCAGCTGACGTATGCAACGATCCCTTAGAATCTACCTGTGCACAAACGTCACTGTTAGGCGCTTACGAAAATTCGTCGAATTTTCAGTCTTTTCACCAATAGTAACGAAACGGCACCGGTCGAGTTTAATCAAAGTGATCGCCGTCGTCCATTCGTTGCCTTTCAGGTGACTGTCTGATTTCACATTATTTTCAACAAACTATCAATGGTCATTTTCCAAAACGCAAAATCAATTATCTGTTGGTGGATGGATGAATAACGGCGAGTGCTTTGGTCGAATCGTGTGTAAAATGATGATCCGTCCCTCAAACTGATAAAATCACCAACGATTCGATGAACTTTTGTAAGAGCTTAATAATAATAAGTGTTCGTTGTAGATACTTATAAATCTCTATCGTCTATCGTCAGGAACAAATATCAAGAGAGAATACAACGCATCCGGCGAAGGGCCACCGTCGAAACGTCAGAGGGTGACGTCCAGCGGAGGTTCCGCCAGCAACGAGAAGCTCTTCAGTTCTCAAATCGAGGACCTGGTGGAGACGATCGTCCGGTCGACGGACGAGTGGCAAAGTCACTTGCTGGAGAGTCTGTTCTCGTCCCTCGAATTCACAATGGAGAACAACGGGGACTTGTGCGCGACCGTGAACGAATACGTCGCGCGTCACGAGGAATTGAAACGAGCGAAGATGCGCGCGGCGCAGGATGAAGATTAATCGTCGAATGAGAGGAGAAAAATGAAAGAGGGGAAAACGCTGGAACGTTCCCTTCTCTTGTCGTCGTCGTCGTCGTCGTCGTCGTCGTCGTCGTCATCATCATTAGTAGTCGTCACTGTGTGATGTCCGAGTCCGTGAAATGCAGCGTGCTGCGATGAGGCGCGATAAACTGCAATTTTATAAATCGAGACGCCTGATCAAACCTGATATAATGTAATGCTATGGCGATAATAAACGTGATATGCTCGACACGAGTTATCTAACATGCGCCTTTTGCCGCTTTTGATGCACGCAACGCGATGATGCACGGCCGTATGACGATCGTCTCTTCTCCCTTCGCTACTTCGTGGACCTAAGATCGAATCGGTTCCTCCTCCTCGAGAGAGGCCCTCGGTGTGCAGTAGAGGGGTCTCGGAGACGAGGCTCCGCGAGCTTATCAGTGAGCGTGCGACTGTTGTGCGATGCTGTGTGCATGGTGTTGCGTTCTGCATCTCGAGTGCAATCGTGCCTTTGCGAATTCGCGCGGCGGGAAGTAACGTCCGGCGTTTCGGTGGAAGCGAAACGTGTCCGTCGTTGACCGTTGACCAACCGAAGCCAACGTAGTGAAGAAGCCGCGCGTGCCGCAGGTTTTCCACCCCTTCTCATTATCGCGACTTCGATTCGCCTGTCAAGCACGCGCTACCGACGATAATAATACGACGAGAAACGACGGGGAGCTCACGCAAGTAACACGGTAACACACGGGCGCCGTCGTCGCAATATCGCGACGGTCCTCCACCGGTGGCCCACGTTGTTGTGTTATCAGCCGATTTTGTAACAATAAAGCGACAGTTTTGTTACAAAGATTTCGCGGTTACGTTTCGTTCTAGAACGATAACGTCAAATGGCCTGGACGGAAAGTTCAAGAAGCGTGGGCCACCGGCGCTTACATAATTTGTTGATGTCGGTGTAGAAAACCGTAGCGTCGAGTGTTCTTTAACAAATATTTATTACAAACATACAAAAAAGTATATGTTAAAAAATCATAAAATATTTTTGTATTGTATCATTGAATTTCTGTATATATCATAAAATATGAAAGTTCTGATTGTATCATCGTCGCAGGAAGATTGTTTCCACGGGTTACTTAAGCGCTAGGGAAAACATTTCAGCAGAAACATTGATCGCAGAAAAATGAAAGAGTATTTAATTGCGACGGAACGAGGTGTGAGTTCTCGAGGGAACTTTCTTCTCCTAGACAAAATGATATGTATGCAGACTGGCATCTCTTAGTTGCAGGACTTTGTAAAACAAAGATAAAAATGGACGATATGTTAGTTCAGATAATAATTAGTGCAGTTTATGCCATCGACACAACGAATGAAGTTACAATGATTGAAGTTGTTAGATAGCCAAGAGATAACAAGGAATGTATCATGTACTTAAGTCGTATTCAGTAGAAATGAAATTCCAAATGTTTTATTTACATTTGGGAGACACTCATAAAGAAAAAGAGTTAACAACGACGTTCTTTAACGTTAATTGACGTTAACGATTATTATAAGTTATTGAAACATCACATCATCCGAAACATGTTAGTGGACTCTAACTCTCATCATACAGGAAGTGTTTCTATACTTCTGAGAGCACATATATATCACATATATGATATAACTTCGTTACAGCATCATTATAGCACGCATAAGGGCGCGTGCACAAATATACATATATCCTTTTATCTATTTATTTCATAATAGAAGGAAACTTCTTTTGGAATTGACAGGTAATTATTTACATTCCACATCTCTGTTGTAGCTTCAATAAAACCTTAACATTTACTAAGCCAAAACTCACCGGTCTTTCTAATCGTTTGCAACTTAAATAAACATTAATATATATCGGGACTGTTATTCAATTAATGTTTTTTTGCTAATGTTTTTTTGATACACTATATCATATCGTACCAGTCTATATACAATGAAAGTAATAGAAAGAGTAGCGGATTTTGGCTTCGTTAAATATCACGTTAAATGTTATGGCCTTATCAAAAATTAAACTGCACAACCATAACACTTCTTAGTCGAGTACCGTTTGTTACAAATAGAACAAAAAAATAAAATTTCCTTCGTAAATTTGGAACCCTTCACAAATTTGATTTCGTAGTTGCACGCAGAAAAGATATACATGTATCTATAAATTCTAGTAATTAAAATAAAAAAAACGAAAGGACACAAATATTGGCACATTTATCGATTTGGCCTTGAACGAGTTCACGACTTACAGACGTCGCGTGAAATACCATTTAACAGTAAGTTCTTGCTATATTACACACGCCTAATCAATCTCTGAAGCGGCTGACAACAGTCGCTGCATTGTCATTAGGATCCGATCCGCTACATTACAGCCCTGCTGTCGGTAGCAGTAGTAGTACGAAAAGCCTTTCATACGCCCTGCGTATTCTTCCTAGCCGTTGTTGTTGATTTCCGGTAGGTTATTGTAGTATCCCATACCGTAATGTTGCAGCCGATTCCAACAAATTACTTTCTTATTGTACGCCTCGCACATAAACGCGGTTATGTGCCGTTTATTCACGTTCGTCGGAAATTGATAATCATCATCATCATCGACGATGGCCACGCACGGTGAACAACCGCGCGAATCGATGTTATTCACAACAAGTATGGCATCGTTCTTATCCGGATAAATAATCTCTGGCTGCTCTCTGGAAGCCATGCACATTTGCCCGAGCGCGCTTTGTACCAATATCTCTCTTTCCGTACGATTCGGCGATTCGTGATTAATGTCGTCTTGCACTTTTCCCCTAGTAATTCGTAGTACTTCTTGCACCTCGTCGTCGACGACCGGCCCGACCTTCGAATGAACCGCGGTTTCATTTTCATTCTCCGTCCTCGGTCTTGCTACCTGAGTTGAACGGGCGGTTGGACGCTGCGTCATGTCTTCATCGCAGTTGTCATCGCTATCGTTATCAATAATTATTTCTATAGGTTCCGTCGAAGGGTCTGTTGACGTATCAATTGTTCTACTGCTCGTAATTTTATTAGACCAGACTGGAGAATTATCGCTGGACGAGGGATTTAGTCTGGCAATAACTGTTGCTTCAGTTGGCCTGTTTTGTTGGCAAATAACGGATTCCCTAGAATGATACAGCGAAGAATTATTCTGACGATACAAATGCCGATGTTCCGGACGTTCCAGACTCGAGGTCTGGACTTCCGCTGCTGGATTCGTGTTCCTCCCACTCTCTCGTTCGTTTCTCTTTGGTGAGCAGCTTTCGTCGTTATCACAAACATCTATCGTGTCAACAAGATTTCCGGCGAACGTGTCCTCCGTGCTCGGATGAGTCTGCGATGAAGCGATCTCACAATGATATCTGTGACTTGCGCACAAGCCGTCGTGCATGCCGAAGGTCGCATTTCTGTCCGGCGTATTTGATATGTCAATAGGACTATTCTCGGACACACCTGTGGGACGCGCTATCGCGTTCCCTTGAATAGCCGCCAATTTGCTTTCATTATATCGATCTGTAGTTTTATGGGGCCGTGCACATTGTATACCGCTATTACCCACAACACGGCCCGTCGCGAGAGACAAATCGATATTCATACCGTAGTCATCTTGACGTTTCTCATTCTCGTGCGACTCACTTTGCGTATCGGCGTCGGAGAAATATTCACCGCTATCTGCCTTTAAGTACTTCCGGCTAAGCAATATTTCCGTCATTGTCACACCAGCGATTTTGATTATCAGACGGAATTTGCGATCCGTCTCCTCTTCTTCTTGTATTTGCTTCTTGTTCATCTGTCCCTCGTAAGACTTCAAGTCCGTGGTATCCAACTGCTCGTCGCATACGTCGCATTTCTGGTTGGTAGGATCGTCACGGCTGTCATGTTGCTGTTCGTGATAACAGTTCTCATGATGATGATCGTCGTGATCAAGATTAAGATCACCGTTTAACACACTGTCGATCCGGCTGTGTCGCCATTGCGCGTGCAAAGCAACGTCAGTTATACACTTGAAATCTCTGCCGCATATTTGACATGTGCTTCCTATAATAACGACGCTGCACTCACGCAGGTTTATGTCGGCGGGAAAGATGAAGTCCGGCTTTCCATTTGTCTGCTCGTCGGTGGACACCAGCATTTCTGGTACCGAACGAACGTCCTGCCGGTCCACGTATGGCCTTTTATCACCTGTTCTCTCACCACTTATCCTGCTCATTCCCACCAGTCCCACCGTGAACAGCTCCCACGAAAGTTCTTGCGCTCGCCAGTGTGGCAACTGTCGAGGCTTACGTCTCGTGATAAATTTCGTTCAACTTCGTTCTGGCTCGGCTGTGGCGCCACCTCGTGTCTATCACCGTGATGCAACCCGATGCCGACACAAAGCAACTTTGGCATCGGGTAGATCGAGTTGCAAGTGTCGTTCACAACAGTCGTCTTTGGACCATCCGTCGCATTGAAATGTACATTCACCGAGTCTGAATGCAACATTAGATACGAATGATACATTTCCGGTTGTTGAGAATGACACGTAATATTTGCGCGAAAAGTTCGCTTTTCCGTCCGTCTCTCAAGTGCGAGGATCAATATAGGGAAGAAATACGAATGGATCACCCGTTTAAACCAATACCCACGAAAACATCCGACAAACGATCCGACTGTCTTTTCTACAACAGCGCCTTCAACGAAGCCGCGCCGTGCGTATCCGGTTCATCTAGATATAAACTGCGACCACCATCTTACAAATTCCGACACGGAGAGAATATCGACGGGACAAGAGAGCTTCGTGGATCATGAAAAGTTCGAGATGTTCGTTAATTTTCTCAACGACATGGAAAACCAACATCGGAGGGAAACCATCCCATGCATAGCGATTGAACATTCCACCGGCTGCAATCGCTCGTTAAAATCACGCGTGTTTCGCAGAAACAAAATTAACGGACCGCGTATAATCCGCGACAAGATATGGAATATTTGTGACGAGTACTAAAAATAGACAGTTGTGACGCCGGCCACGAAATAACTCGATCGAGATATTCTGGCAGACTATTGATACAAGTGGCTAACCTAATCTGTCTATAGATGAAAAACATATAATATGCAAGAGGTTACACATCGGTTTTCGTAAAGTATTGTGATAATCAAAGGGAAAAAAATTCGTTACAGATATATGTATATATATATGTATATACAGATATCCAGACAGCGCAAATCTCCAAAGGACGTTCTGAGGACGTCTGAGATATTATATAATATTATATATAATATTGAATATTACAAGTGTGCAACATTGAATACATTTTCTAAAACAGTATATACTATAAAACAAAATGATGCAATTATATATGTTACGACGGAAGTTCTTGTTGTGAAATACTGCGGAATATTGGCCGATTATATGCTTCAGATTATATTTCAGCTACGTAGGTCATATTGAAGTTATCGACAAACATTCCGACGATTCCATCGATGCTCTTATCTACTGTCGAGTTTAACCGATGATGTAATTATCGATGTAGAAAAGCACTGATGTGTACACATGAATTACAAAAATATTTAAACGCAATGAAATGAAGCAAATATTTTTTTTCGTAATTAAGAGCTATCATCGACCGGTCTGCGCAGTATAATTTCATTATGACGAAAACCTAAGTAACATTACACCAGAAAATTATTGGATCGCATTCTTACTTGGTAGGGATAAGAATATGATAAAAATACTTACATTTTCGTTACTTAATTTGTCGTTCTCTTTATGATATCCTGTATGCTACTACTTTGACTTTTATCATTACTAATTATTGCACAAGTCCATCGATAACAGTTCTTAATCCTGACAGCTTGATGGACATTTCATTTCATTGTCTAAAACATTTTACAACTAAGTGTATACTTCGATAGTTTCTCTCTTTCTCCCCCCCCCTCCTTCCCTGTGTGTGTGTGTGTGTTACGTGTGCGTGCGCACGCACGCGAGTACGTATAACACGGCATCTATATATGTATTATTGTTCATCGTATTGATATTTGAAAAGTAAATATAAGATTAATTTCTCGCCTTTTCTGAAGAAAGGATGTGTTTACATACAAACATAATTGCTATATAACGAATATATATATACAGTCTATCTCGATTTTCGTAAACATATACATTACTTATAATGTTTACCTCGCGATATTTACCTCACTGTACACTGAGACAAAGTACCTTTCGACAGATAAGCTAAATATTCTAACGGATATTATGACAGATTCTAAATTGATTGTTTTCCTACCTCGTTCTTATTCACTATCTTCACTGTTCCATGTCTTCAGGTCCAGAATCTGTGGTAACAAGCTCTTAACCTTATATACTCAACTTACTGCCCGCGAATAGACACAACTTTGCGTGTTGCTATCTGCAACATCGCATATTGAAATCCATCGTCGTTGCGGCGTTGCCGCTTACTTCTTATACTTGGTCATATCGAAGATAAAGGGCAAGAGCACAGGCTTTTGCATAACAACACTTGCATAACACATAATACACAACGCATAAGAGAATCAACCAATCAAAGTTCTTCATTTCTATCCTGAGGAGGGAAATGAAGAAAACTAATTGGTTTATTCTCTTATGCGTTATGTATTATGTGTTATGCAAGAGCCTGTGCTCTTGCCCATAACTTTGAATGAAAAATTTGCCCATAACCACTTAATTATTACACATCTTTCCTTTCTGGGACAAAATGATATATAAATATATGTTAGCAATGACTACCCAGTAAACACAAAGTATCATCGATGTTACAGTGTTAGCTAAATCATATGTTATGTTACATAACAATTGCTTTGTTAATTGTAACAATTGTATTGCTTATATAACAGAGTAACAGTTACGTAACATACCATATGATTTAGCTGACATTGTAACATCAATGATACTTTGTGTTTACTGGGTAATGATTAATTCCTCTATGTGTGAAAAGTTAATATTAAGCTATAAATATGCCGATGCTATGCGCGATTGAGAACGTGTAAATTAAGAAAAAACGTGTTAATCTCCCTTTTCGAATATGTGCAGATAAATATACAGAATTTATATTTAAAAAATATAACATTCAGCAAAAGTGAAAAATATTATATGTTCCTGAACTGAGAACGTTTAAATGCCAACATATTTGGAACGAATGGTTAATATAACTATATAAATAATATATAGTGGTTAATATAATAATAATAATAAATTCTTAAAACTTGAAGATTTAATGACGCAAAATATCATCTCCTCATCTCTTTTTATAAAATAATTTTATCTTTTCTTCAGCAAATACAGAGTATAACTGTTGTACAAGGTGGTCCGTAAGTCGAGGTAAATCGCTCGGGAGATAAATAGGGAACCAAAAACAAGAAAGAAAGTTGATACAAATATAGGTCGGAAAATGCATTGTTTCCGAATTATTGCCATTTTTATGTTAAAATTTGAAATTGCTTTGCTTTCGAATTTGTTTGTCAAAATTGAAACGTGAGATGGTTTTTATGAGTTTCAAAACATGACTAAAGTCAAATAAAAGTTGCGGACTGCTTTAACACTATCCAGGATGCACCACGTGGAGGTACAGCCCGCTTAGCATCCCTCGGCAGAGATCAGGACCCCAAAATCTGCCTGCATTCACGCAAGAGCAGGTAATTTCGAACACCTCGTATGATTTTTACGTTCTCACACACAAACACACATACACACACGGTAGGGAGGGTTTGGAGTCGATAAATACCACAGGAGTGACGAACTGTGGGGTCCTGATTTCTGCCAAGGGACACTAAGCAGATTGTACCTCCACGTGGTGTATCCTGGATAGTGTTACAGCAGTCCGCAGCTTTTATTTGACTTTCATGTTTTGAAACTCATAAAAACCATCTCATGTTTCAATTTTGACAAACAAATTCGAAAGCAAAGCAATTTCAAATTTTAACATAAAAATAGCGATAATTCGGAAACAATGCATTTTCCGACCTATGTTTGTATCAACTTTCTTTCTTGTTTTTGGTTCCCCATTTATCTCCCGAGCGATTTACCTCGATTTACGGAACATCTTGTATAATTAATAATGTATAACACACAGAAGTAACACGTTATAACGGCTGTTACACATTATCAATATGTTGAGATTATATAATTTCCTACTATAACAATATAACTATATTAACTATGCGTTGTGTGTTATGCGTTATGCAGAAGTCTGTGCTCTGGCCCTAAGAATACATTACATAAGCATAAGGCCCCTTGCACAATGCCAGGCAACAAGCAATAAGAATAAAAATAGACCAATCACAATCGGCTATTACAAGAATATTCTATTGTGATTGGTTTATTTTTATTCTTATTGCCTATTGCCAGGCATTGTGCAAGGGGCTTAAGTCGCAAAAATATCATCAGAGCTGCTAGGATCGCCACATGTTGCTCGATTATCAAGTCAAGCAACATGTAGCGCGGTTAGAACATGGTTCGGTACAGTTTGCGCCACTTGGGGATTTCGAAGTTACCGAAAGAGGATTCGCGACGTTTTGAGCACGTATGTACATATAGTAATCTCGATCCCAGCGGTCGCGAAACCTGAGAAAATCAGGAATAATCTTATTTATATATGGTAAATATACAGGGTGTCCCAAAAGTAACCGACCAGCCTAATAACTCTTCAGTATTGAAGTTTCAAGGAAAATGATCTGAATAAAAGTTGTAGGGATTTAAGTGAGCTACCTTATGATGACCTTGACTTTGACGTTGACCTCTATTTTCAAGGTCATTTGAAGGTCAACTTGCGTTTTTTAATGGGAATCCTTACTTTTTATTACACTGTTTTTTTCTACTAGTTAATTTGAACAACTAATATTTTTTGAGATATTTGAGGACAACTTGGTAATTTTTTCAATATTTAACTTACGATATCTCGTTAACTATTTGTCGGAAGAAAAAGTGAGTGACCAGACTTTCTTGCTTTATTCAGTCTCAAGAATATATTGTTACAATAGCGCCATGACTTTTGTTAACTTACTGACTTTTGGAAATTCCAAAATCATCAAATTAACAAAAATCAGGGCGCTATTGTAACAATATATTCTTGAGACTAAATAAAGCAAGAAAGTCTAGTACCACTTTTTCTTCCGACAAACAGTTAGCGAGATATCGCGTAAGTTAAATATTGAAAAAGTTATCAAGTTTTCCTCAAATATCTCAAAAAATATTAGACAAATAAAAAAATGTTTTAGACAAAAGTTGTTCAAATTAACTAGTAGAAAAAAACAATGTAATAAAAAATAAGGGTTCCCATTTAAAAAACGCAAGTTGACTTTCAAATGACCTTGACAATAGAGATCAAGGTCATTATAGGATAGCTCACTTAAATCCCTACAACTTTTATTCAGATCATTTTCCTTGAAGCTTCAATACTGAAGGTATTAGGATGGTCCGTTTCTTTTGGGACACCCTGTATACACACATTGTCGTTCCTTGAATAATTAATTTAATGTTGAAATTGCAGTTGAAGACACGTTTACATTTATATGTGTCCCAACATCGAATCGACTCGAATTTCGACATTCGGTTTTCGGTGGTTGTTTGTCGAAACGATGTCTTTTCAACAAATTATTTCTGACTGCGATTACTTTTTAATAACTAATATAACGGTTATATAACACTTTAGTAACTCATGTTTATGTTATATAAACTGTTGTGAGTGGGAAATTGAAATTTGCATGTATATTGCATGCAACGTTATATTATGTGTTGCATTTTGTTATATTGCAGTAGACTTTTCCGTATTATTTTACTGATATTTCTTATCTCTCAGTGATGTAGCCTCCATCTTGTTAACTCACACACGTGTAACATTCGTGTACACACGATAATAATTATGTTATAAGTATAGTGAGGGACAATGAGATATTCTTCTGTAAGTTTTATACTTTTTGCCTCTTACTGGCTGAGAATCTTGGCTGTTTTCGATGTCTTAATCAAAACAATAAACGCTCATCCGAGGAAACATTATAGTTTCTTAGCTCGACTATTAAAAATCTTTTGCTATTACTTACCACAACATATACGTATCTTGTTGAAATGAAGACCAGTTTTTGTATTTTCAAATTAGTTCTTGTACGTCGCTTACGCGTTGAAACATCTCCTGTACTCGTTTGAAAACAAAGCTGCTGTAGCAAAATCCTTAGTTGAGTCGTTTTATTTTTTACATTTTTACATTATATCACGATTCTCAATATTCACGGATGTATAACAATACATACAATGCTGTAACATAGTTCAAATATTCCTCTAAAAAAGTTGTGCTTTAAATATTTCCGTTTCTTAGCACTGCTAAGTGTCATATCGTATTTTAATGATTCCAAATGTTTTTATATCATTGTAACGAAATTTCATTTGTTGGGAAAATATCATCCTTTTTTAGTTAAAAAATACAAAATTTTACGATCTGTAAATGATTTCTGACTCTAAATTTATATGATCATTTTTTATTTTACGCATAGACATTGACAATAATTTTATTACGTATGTAACTCGTATGTAACTTGAGCAATTATATTTTGCGGCTGCATTCCAAAGTATATTGACAATATTGACAATATTGCTACTAAAATCAACGTATTTTAGTTATTTCAAAGTTGTTAGTGATTACGACAATATGATAAATAATATGAAACGTATTTGCAGTATTGTGTAATGATAGCAAAAAATGTTAATGCAGCTTGCATATTGAAAGCTTATTAAATTACCAATAAATAATTTGACCAATGGTCGGTTATATTTAACACAAAAAATAATTCCGATCCTGCCAGGATTCGAACCTGGAATCTTCTGATCCGTAGTCAGACGCGTTATCCGTTGCGCCACAGGACCATGCGTGGTGTTATTGCTCTAATATAACATTCTTAAAGACACAAATCATTCAACTTAATATATTAAAAATAGTTATAAGTAGTCATTTTACAAAATTTATATTTACAATACTTTTATTATTATCAGTTTTTACTTGTGTAATACATAAATAAATAATATTTTCTTAATGTAATATTATTGTAAGACATTTAACTTTATTATATATTGATGATTAAGTTTTGTCTATATATTTTGTTTCATGAAATATATTTAAAAATATTTCATTACTTATTGGTACATTTTATATGTTGTCATCATATCAAAAAGTTATATTATTATAAAAGCGATTGAATATTATTGATGCTATAATTACCCTAATTATTTCCATATAATATTCTATATACAAAAAGTGACATCTTACAGATTTTGTTACTAATTTGGTACAAATTTGGTATATATTGTGGGAAAATAATAGTTAGAAGTGATATTACGAAAAGAATCAGATGAGGAATGGCATTTGTTATTGAGATGTAACAAAATAAAATTTAATATTTTGATATTTAATTCTCCGTAAAACCTAATTTAAAACCTAATTTAATCTTAAAAACCTAATTTAGTCCAATCCTACCTTATGTCAAATATGCAATAATAATTAGGCTATTTTTCAAATTTCTGTTACTAATTATTTTTTAATAAACAATGAACGACTGCTAGAACCTATTGAGTGTTACTCAAAGACATCACCTTGATGATATATGTCGAGCTTAAAATAATCGTTGATGTCGCCTCTAATATTTATCAAAAGTATTTATAAAATAATTGTTGTACTGTTCATAATCATTATGTATATGTAAGAAGTTCGCGAATAACTTTTGCTAGTAGTATGCGACTATACGAATTTTTAAGCCTTGTTGAAAATAATAATAAATTAATAAATTTCTATCTATCTTAGTACACACACACATATACACACATATATATATATATATATACTATAGCTGTGTTCGAAAACATCACTCTTTAACAGTTTCAGTGGAAAGGTAATAAGGGAATAGTGTGCTCTCGAATGTCGGATGTCGCTGAACGCTTCCCAGGTGGTAATTACTTTAAAATGGAGGAACATCGACGAAACATTTTGGCTGTAACTGCTGCAATAGCTAGAAATAATTTGTTATGATCTGTTATCGAAAGATCTCTATATGCAGAAAGTAGTGATGAAGAATTTGATAGGTGGAATCAAGAAGCAAATGTTATCTGGACAATAAAACAATAATTACAGTCTTGCCAATGATAAACAATGACTATGTAACTGAGCATTGTAAAACATGTTGTTTCGGATTTATACATAAGTTACGTTCAGTATCAAACAAGCAAGCAAAAAATTCTATAATTTATAATTTTATAATTCTATAATTTATAATTTCTGTTTATATAATTTCGATGCAAATGTATAAAATTACTTCGTACGTCTTGAATAAGTAAATTCCCGTCGGAATTAAACATGAGGACATCTTCGCTCGTTATTACTTGATATCTTTCTATTAAACGTTATAATAGTTTTAATATTATCCATTATTCGATTTTTTATGAATAACGATAGGTTAAACTCATGCCGCACTATTGAAGAGAGATAAATGCCGCCATAACACGCCACTGCTTCCACCGACTCCTCCTGCTTTTTCGGCGAGAGACTTAGTGGCACTCGATGTCACTCCTTTCACGTTTTCGAACGACTACACCCGAGAACATTCCGAGCATTTTCTAACAGCTAGTGTCTATTAAAGGACACACGAGTGGTGTTTTCGAACAGCTTTTCGAGCTTATTTTACATCACGGAGATATTTCATATATCCATGAATAATTTTCCAGTTAAAAAGCTTATTAATAATAATGTATATTGATATTATTTTTTTTATTTCAGATTCCTTTGGCCGTGGTAAATGTATCTGGAAACATGGATATTCATGATTGTGCACATGATCTATACTCGTAAGTAATAAATAATATATTTCATTGTTGTGACATCAATGAGCGCTTTTGCGGAGCTTGTGAAACACGTCACGCTTCCGATAGAATGTGTTGCGGAAGAGAGTATCGTCGAACGTGGGTTATGCGAGAGCTACAAATCCGGGGAAGACGACCTTCAGACGTTCGATTTTATTAGCAAGCTAAAGCTGGACCTGTTGAAGGCGCATTACAGCGGCGTGACGAAAGTCAGAGGCAGCAACCGCATGCAAACGGCATACCGGCTGGAGAAAGATACTGATGTCACCCTCCCGACAAGGTATCATACATTTAACATTAACACGCAGAGAAGCAGTGTGACGATGAGTAGTGAAGTCAGCGTCGGTGCGTGATCCACTGATGAGTCTTGCATTTGCGATGAATCAAAATGAATATGCTCGTCGAATATAATTATACCTTTAATCCGGTACAATACCTATAATTATGAATCTCGATTGATTATAAATTCTCCTCGACTATCTAAAGTAACGTCGATCCTCTAATAGAGTCGTTCACATTTATCCGTTGAAATTGTATCGATCAACGCTATGAATATCTCTCATAGCACCGAAGTCCCTTGGCATATCTCAGTGCCTTTTCAGGAACATCACACCCAATGGATTTCCGCAAGAGTTTACGTTGGTGTACACGTTGCGAGCGAGGAAAATACCCAAGTACCCTTGGCACATCGTTAGGGTCGTGGACGCGGAAGGTAGCCCGCAGTTTCTCATCACCATGAATCCCAGAAAACGGACGCTGGACTTCTCGCTGATTGACCGCGAGGGAAAATTGCAGACTGTCTCTTTCGTGAACGATCGCGTGAGTGTCATCGGTCACGTCATCGTCATCGTTCCAGAATAGCTCGTGTTGCGCACATTGTTGCGCCTCGTAATCGTCCTATATTCCTGCTTTGCCAAATAGAGCAGTCGATCGATGCGGAACTGGCGTAGAAAGCCACCAGGTTTTATGGGTCAGTTTCCGACGCGTTTACTTTTCCTCCCACTGCGACCAAAAATTTCGTCTTAAGTCTCACTCCTCAAGCTCCGAGAGCTTTAAAGTCGAGCGGGTTCTAACGTTGATGATGACACTTGTGGAATGCACGGTCGTAAATCCTATCGAGTGGATCGCATTTAGAAACGTCGTCGGGATGGGAGAAGGAGAGACAGAGAGGAAGAGAGCTGAAGCAGCAGCTAAAGCGATTTAGACGATCGATTATTATGAACGTTTCGTCAATTGTCCCACGAAATCGTTACGTAAGCCGTCGCGAGCCGCGCTCGCGACCGCATAAAAGTGAGCTCGTGAATCGTCCCGTCTCATCGGGACAGATGTAAAGTGCGTTAAATCACTTGTTCTTGCGCAAATGTCACTTGACGAGGCCTGCGTCATTAGGATCCTGTCGTTCGTTCGTGACAAAAGACAGGGTTATGCGCTGTACTATCGATGATGCCGCGATAAGAACGTATCGTTACAATGTGCGGAATCTTCGTCAATGAGTAATAACCGCGGCGGTTTCATAAGTTTCGCAATGGCGGAGATTTTTGCGATAACAACTCGCTAATTAATTTCTCTTCTCTCGTTCGTTAATATCGTTAATTAATGTTCTCTCATTCATGGAATATCGTGTTTGCGGGACAGATAAGAGGGAAAATTTGGTCAATCAATCAATCATACTTTTTAACATCGTTCGAATCGGTGAACTATTTGAATAAAGATAAGATGGTTCTCGATAAAGCAGATGTTCGATAAGAGCTGGCACAAATTAAACTTCGGGGTGCACAAGGACAAGCTGGTGCTTCACGTCGATTGCGAACATATTGGCACGGAAAATCTGAAGCCACACGGACCGATTAAAGTCGATGGCAATTTGTCAATAGCCAAAATGAGTAACAGTAGAATTACAGTGCCGGTAAGTCCATTAATATTTTTGATATTTACATCAAGTCAGAGGTCAACTATGTATCTCTCTCAGCAGGTATCGCACACTTTTTCTGACTGATTGAAAATAAAATTGTAATTAATGATATAATGAAAAAAGCAAATCCGATATATTTTATTACGTATAAAACGATGCGAATAAAATAATTTCTTTATCAATCTTTTAATCAATTTTTTTCAAACCCAATGTTCGTACAAAGAGAGAGAGAGAGAGAGAGAGAGAGAGAGAAATTTTACATATAGAAAAAGCTTAAAAATATATTTATAATACTCACTGGGAGGGAAGTTTTCAAATTGACCTGGTTCTATTTATTTTCTAACCGCAGATTTTCTGATAAAAGTGATCTCAACTTTTCATAAAGACCGACTTGCGTGTGTATGCACGCATCCAACGCTCCTGAATTGCATAGCTATTATGTCATTGTGAGGAATGCGCATCTTCGTGAGATAACGTTACGTGTCGGCTGTCACAATTAAGCAGCCCGCTACTTGATTACAGACCGCTTTACGCGAAACGAGGCTAGAACTGTGAAGGGAGACGAAATTTAATATTAGACTCTTTGGCCCACATTCAGAACGATGTTAGAGCACGCGACAAATAGCACCAATAAATAGAAACAAGCAAACGCGACGACGACGTGTGACATTTAGAAAAATCAATTAAACGATCAAGTCTCTTTGATGTGCAATCAAGAGAGAGATACAAAAAAAAGAGTCAATAAAAGCCAATGGAAGATCGGAGTCGTGAAGTCCATTCAGTAGTAAACAAAATAAATAAATAAAAGAAGGAGCACCAAGCGGATTCTTACAAAAGTCATCTAAATCTTTTTCATAATAAGAAGCATAAATTCCATGTGGAATGCAAGAGTTTTGAAAGAAACCTGAAAGCATCGCTCCCTTTTCTTCACTTTTTTTTTTCGCAACCGAGTGGGTTTTATAAACAAAATTATGTTGACTTTTCTTGGTTCTTTTCTCATCGTACGTAATCCCTGCTATTGATTATAATGTGGTGACTAAAAATATAAAATATAATGAAAAAACTAGCGATAATATTCTAAAATGAAATTGTCCGAATATTTATCCGCACCATGTTTAGATCGATCTACAATGGATGGTCCTAAACTGCGACCCCACGAGACCAGAACGAGAAACATGCGAAGAACTACCAGTAAGTATTCGATATATTTCGAGAAGATTCGAGAAAAAAATTCATCTTCGCAAAAATTCATCTAGTATTATTTACGTGATCACAGATGAACATAGCCGCTCCGCTATCGCAGATAAAACCCGCTTGCGAGACAATCTGTCCGCAGGGACCACGTGGGTTCAACGGCACGAACGTAAGCTCCGTTCGAATTGCGTAATTTTTACATTTATTTATTAAATACGTTTATACGAATCGGACGACCGAGAAAACTCGTGCGGTTTTCGGTGCCTAAAATAATAACGCTAATAAAATCTGACGTAATTACATGAAATCAACCTATACTAATCGGTCGGGCTAAACTCTAAATACATAATCTTCGATATGTGCTATATATGAATCATTACTACACATTTAAAAAAATCAATTAGCATAGATATATCTTTGTCAATTTATAAAAAAATCAGGGCTCACCTGGACCACCCGGAGCACAAGGGGCGATAGGTGCACCAGGTTTATCTGGACTTCCGGGACAACGTGGATTATCGGGAGAACAAGGAAAAACAGTACGTTATATTGTTCATTTCGCGATTCAGTAAAGAACTTTTACGCTAATGAAACGTGGACAGATGTACGTGAAAGTAAAAGATATACGTCTTATCAGGGAGCTCCAGGTAATACCGGTGCGAGAGGTTTTCCAGGTCTGCAAGGTCTCAAAGGATTAGCCGGACCTATGGGTCCTCAAGGATTACCAGGATTTCCAGGACGAAAAGGCGATCGCGGTGAAAGGGTAAGCGTTACGTCGTTGGATTTTAATTCTCGATACGGTGACGAGTGTGAAACTGGAGAATTTCTTTACGACGAAAGTAGCAATAGAAAAGTAAATTTCAAATAGGGTGATATGGGTTTCCCGGGTCTGAAAGGAGATCAAGGTCCTCGAGGATTCCCTGGCCCGCCAGGGGACATAAGCAGCATGGTAGGTGGATTATCGCGTGCTACTGGGCCTTCTATCGTGGGTGAAAAAGGACCTAAAGGAGAACGAGGGGATAATGGAACTCCGGGTTATCCGGGTGAAAAGGGTAAACATACACATGTATTGTTCTTTAGAAAAATGAACTTTGCGAACCGTTCAATTGGAGCGGATTAAATCCATCCGTACGTTCATTAAAAGCGACTGAAGATACGCGCTGAACGATGTAATTCAATCTCGTTAGAAATCGCACCGAGATATACATAACCGCTTTCTCGCTATTCTCGACGGCGATGAAGTACGAGAATGTGGCGAAACGAGTGTTCTTGATAATCGCACTCGATATAGCCAACACTGCGATACCTAAATCAAATTGTCATCCAATCCGTGATTGTGCCAGGACGAGGTCAATGATCTTACGTAATATATCGATTTTCACACACTTGTTAATCCGCTAATGGAAGATATTTTTGAAGACATAAGCCATGCGCACAGCAAGTTGAAGATCGCTTGGTTTGAGGGAGCTCGTCGTAGAAAAGTCAGGATCTGGCTCGCTCGTCGATAATGCGTTAAACATGCTCACGTCGCCCATGTGCTTTGTCTTTATGACTATTTTATGAACATTGTAAAGAATCCACGATTCTAATAGCGGCTATTGAACGATTCAGGCAGCGCACGAGATTCCACGTATCGACACCCGATGACCCAGATGCGCTTATTCGCAGTCATTGTAAATCAATTTATTGCAATCTACCGCAACCTCTATATAAACTGTCCGCTTATAAGTAACTTGAAAATCAAAGTCGACCGAGCGCGTATCGGAAGTCCAATATTTTCATTGAAAGTTAAAAACTAAATGAGCATGGCTCATTGGTTTATAATCAACAAGAAGAAAAAAATTAATAAAAGCGGTACAAGTTGCGCGAAACTTCAGGCGAGCTTGAAAAGAAATACGATAAAAAAGATGCAAATGGATTCTTAAAATAATTATCCAAACATTTTGGTCATCATTTGGACTCTCTTCAATGGAAAGACAAGAACAAATCGTCTCGCATTGAAGTTCCTCGAAGTTCCAGGTTTTTTTTTTAGAATTCTTACACATGGAAAATACATTTCTTATGATAAAAAAAATTATAAAGTATGATATTATTTGCGTTTTTTTTTATAGCAGAAAGTCGAAATGATGATGAAACGTTTGAATAGCTCAAGAGTCTATTTTGTCCTCTTATTTCTTTTTAACGACTGAATTTTGCGACTGAACATTCTTTTACATTCGCTCTTATTATCTTTTCTCCTTATTTATTGACAATATTTATCTCTCGGTGTTCTCTTGATTGATTCAACATGAAAATATAATATATCGCAAGAAGAATATGAAAACAATTATTATTAACTAGAGCACTATGAAATTTAACGATAATATTACAGGAGAACGTGGGGAAAGAGGACACCCGGGATCAGATGGATCTCGTGGACAGAATGGTGCGCCTGGTCCTATGGGACCATCCGGACCACCTGGAGCCAAAGGAGATACTATATTCATTAACTCACCTAGCATTCCAGGACCACCAGGTCCTCGTGGTATAACAGGGCTGCCGGGGCCAACAAGCTTACCTGGACCGCCAGGACTACCAGGACCTCCAGGATTACTAGGTCAAACGGGTCCGAAGGGTGATGTCGGAGAACCTGGACGAGATGGTTCGCAATTTTGTTAATTTACTAAAAATCGGGCACTAAGAGATTTTGTTAATATAAATTATAGAAAGTATAAATTATATAAAAAGTATGGAAAATATTTAGTAATATCCTTCAAGGTACACCAGGATTTGTGGATAGTAGCGTAATACCAGGACCTCCCGGTCCCGCAGGACCTATCGGACCTCCTGGCGAAGACGGATTTCCAGGTGCCAAAGGAGAAGTCGGAGCGGTAGGTCTTCCAGGACTACCTGGTGCTCCAGGAAAAGACGGAATTTCAGGATTACCGGGACCGCAGGTACTTTGTTACTTTGAACTTACAAGCAACGATATTTTACTGTTTTATTTTCTTCTTACGTAAGATAACGCACTCTTTCATGAATATTCGCCGTTGCATGCGATAAGGGACTTCCAGGAATGCGGGGAGATCCGGGTTCGCCAGGATCTCGTGGTTTAGATGGGTTCGTTGGAAAACCAGGACCGCCAGGACTAGATGGGAAGCCAGGCCAAAAAGGGAGCAAAGGACAAGAAGGCGAACAAGGTCCTGTCGGACCTCGCGGGTTACCGGGAAGCACGGTAAATACAAAGTTGGAAAAATTACTTTTTAATAATGTTACTTATTACTATCACTTATTATTTTGCAAAATAACTCGTTATTGTTACTAAAGAAATAACGAACTGTTACAATTTTCGTTATTATTTTTTATCACCAAATTTTGAAGTGCTTTTTTCTCCAAATTTCCCGTTGTCCATCTTGTACTTACACTAAAGGATAAGTATAGCCTTAAACTTAACCAAGTTAAGTTTAATAAAATTTTCTAACTGTACTAATATTGATTTATTATTATAATATATTCATTTATAATTCAGTAAAGCCTTTATTTAGTCGTTACTGAAGAGAAGAGGAATCATTACTGAAGTAATTTGCAATTTCGTTATGAAGTAAAAGCATTACAAAAATCGCGTCATTTTTCATTTGTGAGTAAGAACGGTGCAAAACGAAAATATTACACTCTACAATCTCTAAGATCTCACATACTTAGGGCGCAAGTGGCTCGTCAGGTGCACCAGGTATACCGGGATTAGAAGGAAGACCAGGCTTACCAGGACTTCCGGGGCCGCCAGGACCATCAGGACCTCCTGGTAATTCAGTTCAAATCGAAGATATACCTTACCCAAATAACAGCTTTGAAAATATCGGTAGTCCTGGTCTGGACGGACCCAGAGGCCCGCCTGGTGCGCCAGGAATTGTAAGTATTTTATTTGCAAACGACTCCGGTATATATATATATATATATAACATTCCGATAATTGAGAATAAACCAATCCTATGCTTTTGAAACAAATGATTAGCCAGGTGAAAGAGGAGCCCCTGGAGAACGAGGACCAGAGGGACAGATAGGACCAGCCGGAATGCCTGGCAAGGATGGAGCACCCGGTCTACAAGGTCCGCCAGGGAACAGAGGTCAAACGGGTATGCCGGGGCTTCAGGGGTCACCGGGACGTAGTATCAGCGAAGTGGAGATCCGAGATATTTGCGCCAGTGTGCTGAGAGGTGATTTTATCAGTGTGCCCGATCTCTCTCGCTCGGCGCGTCGACTGTTCCCCTAAAAATTAATTGAAGTTAATTAAAGTTTAACCGTTTCACCATTCTCTGATTCTCTTCATCTTCGTATCCGGGCAGAAATGGCGGATAAATTAAGCTTCAGTTAACTTTAATTAACATTTAAGACGACGACGTTATTTCAATCATGTCGTTGAGGAATCATAGGAGTAAGATAATAATCTAATAATCTAATAATTTCATTGAGAGAGTCCGTATATCTCGCGAGGCGAATGAAAGACGCGTGCACGTCCAGGGCAGTACGTATGAATTGCCGTGTGACTCTGTTCCTCATCATCGTTCGTGTACACACAGAACGGATGACCGAGATGGCAGCGCTGATGCAAGGTTCACCTGGTCCTCCTGGCCGAGGCCGTCCAGGCCGTCCTGGTTCACCTGGTTCCCAAGGTCGCCCAGGTACACCCCCCAAGTCAGGGTTACCGGTCCCCGCGCGCTTATCACTCGGCACGACATTAATCGCATTAAAGACAAGCTATTACTGTAGGTCTTTCTTATTAATTTGTAGACGAGTCTTGGACGTAGAGCGGAACGCTAGGAGCCTAACGCGAGAAGAGGCGTTTGGCAAACAACAACCACGAGAGCATCGTTGTTATAGTAGTCATCTAAAAAAATATATGCTTGAAATATCATCCACACGATATCACACAATGGCATACACATACTTAACAACGTCGACGGATCGACGTCGGGACTAACGTCTCGCGCGAGTTGTCGTGCGCCCATAAAGATAATGAAATACCGCATGTGTCGCAGAGAGGCTGAAAGAACTAACAGACGGTCTACGAGGGCTGCCCGGATTGCCAGGACTGGCTCGACAGGGCCGTCCCGGTCGAGCCGGAATTCGGGGCATTCCAGGTACCTACCTATCTACCTGCTCGAAATCAACACAAGCATCGATAATGCCTGGAATTATAGCCTGCTCGGAATAACGGAAGCTTCTTTCATGCGCACGCGACGAGTAGATTAGTCGAGTAATTTCATCAATCACGTTTCATTTGTCACTTGTCGATGCTGAAGTCTTTTCTTAAAGCGAAAGTTGCGTCGTTATGGGGGAGATTCGTGTTAGTCGTGGCTTCATCGTAACAATTTTGGCCTCTCGAGTTTCAATATTTCGATTTTGCTGATTGGTTTTGACCGATTGGCTTTGCCGATTACGCTTATTAGTCTTGACGAGCCGCTTTAATAAAAGATATCTGGATATTTCTCCTACGAGCTGAGACTAATGCATGACGTAGTTTCACCCGACAAAAAATTATTATATGAGACAATGTATGAATTTCGTCTCTATATGGCCGTATATGTATAAACATACATGGTTATATATGTTCACGCTAAAAAAATGTTGTACAATGAAAGCAACTATTTATGCTCGTAGGCATTTAATTATATCAAACAATTTTTTTGTGCGTATGGACATATATAATTTCACATGATTATATACATACATAACCACATAGAAACAAAATTTATACACACAGATCATGTATAATAAAATATACAACTCATATATAATTATATATGATTTTATAATCTTTTCTCATCGGGTATATACATGTTACAAAGTATATTTATTATTTTATGTGCGTTTATGAGACGTTCTGCTCCCAACTGATGCCGATTTCAATCATTCAGGCGATCCGGGATCTCCAGGTCTGCCGGGAGAACGTGGATTCGTCGGTTTACCGGGTCCACAGGGTCCCACAGGACCGCAGGGTCCTCTTGGCGAACGTGGAGAAAAAGGAGACAGAGGTCCGGAAGGAATCGGTTTAGAAGGACCACCTGGTCCAAGAGGGCTGCCAGGTTAAACAACGTCATCATTAGCTATTGAACATCGTTATTACGTTTTTAATTGTTTTGAGGATAATTATGGTCTAACTATTGCATTTTAACAGGACCTCCAGGCAACGACGGGGTTGGTTTAACTGGGAGACAAGGAGACAGAGGCGAACCAGGTAGACCAGGTAAGAGAATTTTGTCCTCAGAAAGTAAAGGGAATTCTCTTCTGTAAGGAATGGCCTCAACTGAAACGAGTATTGTCCCGATTAATTTAACCGTTGGTTAATCCACTTCTGAATAATAGTTCTACACGTTGGTAATTAACAAAAGTTTCTGGATGCTTTATTATTAATCGTCGCTAGGTACAAATAGGCAGAACAGCGCGACGACACGGTCCTCACAATATGCGTAATCGGCGCTATCGTTATTTAACGATATGAAGGTATTGTCTGAGTGCAGCTCGATTCGTTACTCAGAGCAATACCGGATCTTCCTTTATTAATCTTTACAATCACCTACCGCTACTTATTAACCGGTGATTAGATAGGCTTCCTGCGGTGAAACGGTTCCGAGCGTCTCAAGAGACCCAAATGCCAAAGCACAAAGCGCAGAGCCAAAAGCACAGGATCAAGAGCAAAGAGCCAAAAGACCGAAGCCAAGAGCGAAGGCAAAGAGCAAAAAGCAAAGAGCAAAGAGCGAAGAGCTAAGAGAGCGATTCCTTCTCGCGCCGAAATATATATACACATCGCAGATGTCGTCGTGTCTTCCTAACATATTAGGCATAACTTACTGTCGATTACAATAGATGGCAATACTAGGACGATTTAGCTAGCTCATATCTTACACTTCCTTTTAAAAAGAGAAGACAATTTTCCTCGAGAAAGACAGTCAATGTTATCCCCCTTTTAAGAAGGATCATTCTAAATTAAATTTTTCGAGGATTTTAAAAATTTATGGAATAGGATCAATGTTCTGTTAAGAATAATATTCATTGTAGCATTGGTAACTTTATCTTTTGTACGGAATATTTTACTAATTGTTTGAACTAATTTGTTCGCAGGTGTTCCTGGTATGAGAGGAACGCCAGGAGCGCATGGACCACCCGGATTTTGCGAATTCTGTAATTATCCTAGTAATACTTATCTGCAGTACAGTCGTGGTAACGAGAAAGGTCCTTGAGGCATGATAATGAACACAGATAAAAACAAAGGAAATTTCTGAACAGCGGGTGAAATATCGCGTAATAATTTGATGTATTTTCGATATAAACATTCAAGGTTTAAGCATTTATCGCCAGACTGCAAGTCTCTGCGGATTCTTAACAAATCACTGCCATGCAAAGATAGCATTTCTTTTTTTAATTAGTACTTAATTACAAATTTTAACATTGCCCCAGCATATTACATGTATTATTTTTATTAAATAATAAAATTACTTTCGATACTTGCTCATTGATATTTTATCGTTATGTTACGAGGTTATCTTAGATTAGGTTACGTAGGTTATCTTAGATTAAACGCAAATCTTAGATTAAACGCAAAAGGTTTGTTGTTCTTAGATTCTTACGTAGTCGAGTTCTATCTAAATATCTAAATACGATTGAGAATCCGAGTTTCTTTTTAGAAAAAAGAAAAATCCAAGAAACTTCTTGTTACATAAAAATACATTCGTTAAAATAATCTCAACGTTACGCAATTTCATTTTTCAGATCTACTTGATAAAAATAACAGAGATATACACAATACTCACATGTTCCGTTAATTATTATTTTTATGGTATACCAATACGATATCGCAGGCTGCAGCACGATAAGATATCGAAACTTCATAGCCCCGTGAATGACCTCGTCGCATCGCCACCTTTTGCACACACAATCGGGAACGGACATAACTTACTAGTCCAGATGTGTTTACAATATTTGCGTCTGGAATTTACAATATTTACCGAGCTAGATACTCATAACATTTATCCAGCACGCGCCCAAGCGCGGGGCCAAACTCTGTCGAGGAACAAACAGGCTATCCTAAAGACTAAGGATCCTAAGATAAAGACTTGAAGAACTCAGGCCGTGCTCGTGCCACGTCGTGGGTGAGTCGAAGGGTGATTTACACGATGATTTACACTTTTGACGCTTGACACTGGCTTCTTTTGTCGCCAGCTTCTCGCTTTCCTAGAGCGAATTTCTGGCTGACAGTCGTTAGCGTTGGAGCATTTACACGATGCTGATAAACAGCGTTTAGTCGCTAGCGTTTCAAGGAGAATTTTGCGGTAACGGTCAGTTAAAAGGATCATGGTGTCAAGGAATGATATAGTTCAAGCTGCTGTCGTGCTTTGTGCACGAGTTCTTCAAGCAGAAATTCGTGGCTCAGTAACAAAATAAAAAAAAAAGAGAGAATGTGGGTACGTGAGTGGATAGGTAGAATATTATTAACTCATGGAGCATCAAATAATCTTTTCAAAGAACTGGCATTGGAGGATCCAACCGCATACCGCAAAGTATTGCGATTAACGTGCGAGACATTTGAAGAACTTTCGAAAAAGCTGCATCCGCTTATACAGTTATTAAAAAAGACAGTTTAATGTCGCTTGACGCGAGCGGTAAAAGTTGGACATGTTCAACTTTGCCATAGCGACTAATAGACGCTGCGTCTTCCAAATTTTCGACGCTAACGAATAAAAATCGTGAAGTCTAGGAGAAATTTTCACCAGCGAATTCGCTGGCGACTCAAGAAGCTCGCTCAAAGCGAGTAAAAGCAGTATCGTGTGAATCACCCTTAAAGCAGCGCGCACAGAGTAGCGCACGCGTCTCCCAGCTTGAAATACGAATTGTCGCGCGCATCCCGCGGTCCGATTCTCCGTTCTCCCGTTCACGGCGGCGACGGCGCCAGCGGCGTCGTCGAGCGTATCAGACACGGGCCAGTGATGGCCGCGGAATTCGCGACGTGCGTCACATCGGCATCCGAGCGGCGAGGTTGTTTATCGAGGTGACGCCGTCCCGGCGAAAATCCACGCCTCTCGACCGTCGTCCAGTGCTACTCGTCGGGCTCGTTCGCGCTGGCTCGAGCGGCTCGATTTCGCGCGTGTGTCCCGGACGTGTGCCGATTCCGGGCGAAAGAGAGAGAGAGAGAGAGAGAGAGAGAGAGAGAGAGAGCGAGCGAGCGAGAGAGAGCGAGCGAGCAAGTGTACCCGACGGAACCGCTGCGCCGTGCCGCGCCGCGAACAGTCCCGCGCCGGAGCCGACGAGTGTGACGCGAGAGAGGGAGCGAGAGAGCGAGAGAGCGATTAAACGGAGGACTACTATCGGCTTGTCTCTCCTCGCGTGGTGAATCTCATGACGAGGTGGGAGTGATAAGGGATTACGTGGGAAGTTTCCGAGGAGGCACGGAACGCCGACTCCACGCCCCCGTCGGTACCCTTTTTTCTCGCAGGCTCGCTGGCGACACGCGCGCACAGAGCGCCCCAGGTAAGCAGGTAGGTAGGTGGATGGATGAATTGCTACGCCGACCGGTAGAACAGGTTAGGTGCCTGCGCACCCTCTCAAGCCAAGGCTATCGCGGATGATCGCGAGGCCCGTTCTTTCTTTTCGGAATTTCAGCCGCAACCTTCCGTCGCCCGTTCCCTCGCGACCGTTCCTCCTTTTCGTTTCCGATCTCTCTTCCGACTCTTCCCGATGCATCCTGATCAAACATTTATCTTGCCTCGTGTGAGAAAGCGCAGCGCACGTAACGCGACCAATAAGAACAGCACTGCGAAGTTGTCGACCCTACCGGAGGTGTTTCGATACTCACTGGAGTATCGATAATTTGATTTATGACTGACATATCGGTGCTTCCTGATGCGACGAAGGAGACAATGTTTTTCCGATTATGCGTTATCGGCTATATATTGCCGGAAATAATTAGTAGTACCTATCGCGCTAATCGACAGATTATTATTCGGCGTCTTCGTCTCACACCGTGTTGGTAATGTGTTTTAAATGTGTTCGCTTGATATCGCGCGTCTGATAATGCGATTCGATAACGCGAGGAATTTAGCGCTCGAGCGAAGCACCGCTCTTCCGACGGCAGTTCTGTCTGAGAATGCGAGTCGATTCGTTACTCCCCTCGCGGTTTTACCGTCAGATCGAACGAAACGGCAGCTATCGCGCGAGGTCGATGCGCTCGTTATTTACTGATGAGGCGTCCAAGACTTCAAAATCAATTCGCCAGTGCGCGAAGCTCTACCGGCACCGAGCACGTGAGCTTCCGATTCTGGTTAGTTCGGTGTCGAGCGCGACGCTAAGCAGAAACGAGAGTGAAACGTGTTACGATGAAACGTGTTACGTCTGTCACGATGACACGCTTACGCATCCGTCTGCCTGTCAAGTACTGACGTGCACACAACGCGGTAAAAGTGATATTCCGCGACGGAATTTCCGCGCGGAGGAACATCTCTCGCGGGACTGTACCGCGCGGTGCGATTAATCGGCGGGAAGATCGGCTGTATTGTTAAAAAAAAAAAAGGAAATTTCAAAGAGTACTTCTGCCGAAGTTGCGCAAGCGCGTGATTACAAAATTACGCCGCGCGTGCCGGTCGCTCGACACCACGCAGGTGAATTCAACGCTACGTTTGTCACACGTCCGTTTTTTTTCCCTCTTTTTTTTATCCGCATCATGTTGCATTTTTCATTCTGCGAAATACGCGGCGCGCGCGCGCGCGCGCGAGTGCGTTGCCGCCTCGCGAAGTTTTCTCAACAACAGGAATGCAGATCGCCACGCAAAAATGGCGCACGCGTGAATTTGAACTTGCGAGAGCGAGAGACGCTCGATTGAACCCGCCGAGCGAGGGGAAAAAAATCCACGCTGGCGGACGAGAGAGAGAGTTACGTAAGAGTAAGACGGAAGTGCAGCACGTGTACGACACACGACGACGACGACGACGTCGTCGTCGTCGTCCACGTCGTGCCTAACTTCGTTTACCGTTACCGTCTCTCCGCGCTCCCTCCGAAACGACGTTGTTGTCAATCGGATAAAGATCTGCCGTTGTCAACGGGCGCCGAAGTTGGCCGCGCCTTTTAGCCGCTCCATTTCGCGCGTTCCTTCGAGCGCGCCCGACTACCCGGCGCGTTCCCTTCCCGAGCGTTCCCCCGTTTCTTTGACCGATCTTACGTTCCCCCCCACCTGGCCCACTTATCGTATTGATTCAAACTTAGGCATTCGCGTTTACTTCCCTCATTCCGTCGAAGCCATCGGCCGATATTCCCTCATTGCTTCCTGATCAGCTACTTCCGCTCAAGTGCCGATCAATTATTAAGGGCGTCTAGACGCGGTGCGATAGCCGACGACGCTATGCTCCGCGTCCGTGTTCGACGTTTAGCGTGTCTGACGCAGCGCTACTTCGTTCATCCAATTAACTCCTCCTGTTCATCCCGAGGTCAGCGTTACTTCGCATTCGCGCACAGCAGTGATCCTCCTGATCGATTAAAGATCTTGATCGAGGCAGATGGCAGTGTGCGCTAACTGGATCGCCAATCCGCCTTCCCCCCCCCCTCCCCTCCTCCAGGCAGAACAAAAATCGTGATGACAACAAGATAACATCAAAATGACGAGCATAATGACCGAATTATGATGAAAGAATTAGTTTTCCTCATCACTTCGACGTCATTCTCATGTCATCATGATTTTCTGCTCTGCCTCGGCCCAGACAGAGCGGAAAATCATGACGAGTGATCGAAATGACTGACGAAAATGATGAGAAAAACTTATTCTTTCGCCATGATTCGGTAATTTTCTCGCCATTTTGGTGTCATCATGATTCTCTGTTCCGCCTGGGCTTCCTGGACTTCCTAAGCGTCTCGAGTCACTTGAAGTATTGATGGTTGAAAACTGCGCTTCACCGGCAGCGCACTATTAATACGCGATGGCTATTAATACATGAACTCTTCATAGATAGAAGACAGAGTATCGTTTTGTTCGTCTTTGTGATCCTTTTCATTCTTGCCTGCAATCCCTCAATCGCGCTCCTGCTTACGAGATTCCCGTCGACTCTTCGAATTCAATTTTCAGTTCTCGACACGCTCCTTCCGCACAGAGACCTCGGCGCGATCTCGAGAAACGCAGGTTCCGCTTGCTGCGAAATTCATTTCGCTCGTGGTAAAATTCCCGCTCCGCGAATGCTCGTAAGTTACTTTGCAAGTGGGTTGATTCAATTACGATCATTGTATCGCAAATAGCCGCCGCGAACAATCGCGTAATTAGAACGTCGATTGCAACGCGACGCAGCGATTGTCTCGGTGAGGGACTGCGAGTAACTTGCTTGAAAGGATGAACTTGAGTGTATGTGTGTGTGTGTGTGTGGGTGTGTGACGAAATATTGGCCGGTTTTAAATGAATTACATCGTCGGATATTGACGTTTAGTAACTGGGTCGATCGTTTACGTAAAGCGGGTTATACCGCGTCACGGTTGAACGACCCTTCGGGTTAATTCTTTTTCCCGGAAGTGTTGTCTTCGCCTACGTCTCCGCGGAGGAAAATAAGGTAACGAGGAGGAGAGCCCACGTTGCAGGATGGAAGCTACGGTATCGATGTCCATTTCGTAGGCAGCACCGCACCGGGTCACGTCGAGGCGTACGAGATACAAAGTACATCGCGCGTGCTCTCTAATCGTCGTTAATTAGCTCTCTCTCTCTCCCTCTCTCCATCTCTCTTTGCCCTCCTTCTCTCGCTCTTCCCGGGGGCCCATCGTTAACAGCCCTCGGCAACAAACGGCTCCGGTTCTCGCAATAACGTCGCGACATGACGCGTCTCTCGTACGAGCCGCGAAGTCGGACCGCGTCGGTCGCGCTGCACGATCCAGGGTGCGCGAAATTACAAACACGGACGCACCTGGTGAGCGTCTGGTCTGCTGAAACCGGGCCGGGGCCGGCGACAAATCAAGTCCAAATCGCGGATTCCACTCTGATATTCCGCACGGTGCGCGCTCGCCGCTGAAAGATTTAATTCTGACCGACAGCGTTCTCGCTCCCCCTCGCGGGGATTCTCGTTATTGCGCGCGCTAGAGGCGGCGTAATGCCATTCCCGCTTGATTCCCGCTCCGTTTGAATGCTCCGCTTGATGTGTTCGCGGGGCAACGCGCGATGCGAAATCGCGCTCCGCTCGCGCTCATTAAGAATCGCGTGCGCAGTCAATTCGCTGCTCCCCGGCGAGCCTGCGATTAATCATCGCGCGGTGGCCTTCGCTCTTCAGCGTGTCTGCCCGCCGGTGTCTTTAGCGCGACGCATAAATTTGCCATTTTGCTGGGAAGAGGGAAAAAGGAGAAGGAGATCTCTCGCGACGCGAGATTACGCACGGAAGCGGCGATATTTGCGCCGCGGGGCGCGATCGCGAAGGAATGCGCGCGGGAAATCAACGTGGGGCACCAAGCGGAGGAAGCAGCAACAGCAGCAGCAGCGCGATTAACAGTTTTCATTCTGTGTGCAGTGAAAATGGCGGAGGAAGGTGCGGGCGGATCGGGCAACGGGAGCAGCGGGGAGACGAGCCGTCTGCAGCTCCTGCAGGAGATGCGGCAACAGAACTTCGACACCATTCGCTTCGCCTCGTATCGCACCGCCTGCAAGTTGAGATTCATCCAGAAGAAGGTGCATCGTAAGTATACAGCCTGCGACACGTTCGTCGAGGTGTGTGTGTGTGCGTGTGTGTGTGTGTGTGTGTGTGTGTGTGTGTGCGTGTGCGTGTGCGTGTGTGTGTGCCGAGGCCTCGACTTTGATTCCCATATAAAGCCCGTGTCACACTACGAACTGAAGATCAAGGGTTGCGGATTGAAGATTAGATTTCGACAAATCAACGAACTTCGGTTTGGACTTGCTTTATTCCGATTGGTCAATCTTTCAATCTTCAATCCGCAATCCTTGATCTTCAATCTGTAGTATGACACGGGCTTAACTCTCGGTCTCTCGGCGGATCTCCCGGTGAATTCGCGCGTCGACCGGCGCCGATCAAAAGCTTCTCATGCAGGGCAGGAGGGATACGCGAAGGAGGGAGAACTCGCCGAGTTCATTGTTGTTGTATCTTCTATTCCGCTTCTTCTTACGAATTCGCGTTTCCGCGTTTCCGCAACTGAGGTTCTTACTTCATTACAAGTAACGCGGTATTTCCCCCACCCGCGGCAGTAATCCAGGATTAAACGCGTTATCGTTAACTGCACGGAGATCCTCGTCGCTCGCGGGTGGGCCTTTCAGAATATTAACACCCGTCGGAACTCGCTGCTCTCCTCTCTCGCGTGCTCCGTGCGCTCCGTGTAACTGCTAGTTCACCGCTAATTAGCGGCATGGCGAGCTTTGCGGCCGCGTTATCGGGCGGGGTAGGAGGACGAGCCGTTCTCTCGCGCCCGTCCCGATTGATCTCGCCGGTATGTTAATGCAGCCACGTGCGTGTTATAACGCTGCGACGTACGCATGGATTGTACGCAGTGCACAACGTCGACATATGGAACGTGATCGAGGCGTTTCGGGAGAACGGTCTGAACACACTGGAGCCGTCGAGTACGTTAGGGGTGTCCAGGCTCGAAACACTACTGTCTTCCCTGTTTCATGCGCTGAACAAGAGGGTGCCGGTGTCCCAGCAAGCTAAGGTCGACGCAACCACGGCCTTGCTGATGAACTGGCTGCTAGCTGCTTATACCAGCGGGTAGAGATACGCTTCTTTACTAAATCGCTGTCAAACATATAGTCACGCACGGACACAAGTTCGTACACTCAAAAGAAAGTAATTTCAGAACAAGCGGAATTCTCTAAGATTAAGAGGAAAATATTATAAACACATTCTTCTTAAAGTTAGAGGGATTATATGTGATATATATATATATATATATAATGCAAATCTTATTGATTTTAATATAAATTTCCTCTTATACACAGATTATTTAATCTTTTTTTAAGAGGATTATTATTTATTTTACACCAGAACGTCTTAAAAGGTCTACTTCCTTTAGACGTCGAGATATTGTATTTCGACTAACATCAGCAAGATTTTCTTCTCGTAGTTCTCGAGAAATATCTATGATAGTTTTTCTAACATCTGCTATCTGCTATCTTTTAATTATTTTATCGACGCGCTTTGTAGTTTTGCAAAGTCTACCGTTTCGTGGTTTATCAGTTAGAGAGTACGTCAACTTATATTTAGCAATAAATCCTATTTACAGTACTTTTATCAATTAATAAGCAATTAGCAATTTCGCGAGAAACCTTTCCTTGTTGAGAAAGATTAATCACGGCTTTGCGTAACTGAAGGCTTATACCATATGTTTCGGCATTGCGGTAGACAATAGACTGAAATTTAGTTAAAGCAAATATTTACGAGGAAGTTTCATAAGAAACGTAAACAAACCGGGCTCATAAAGTCACAACAATATATATATATATAGTTATACTTTTGGTTCCAGTTCTATAATAAGTAGGCACGAATGAAGATTATCATAAATTTCCAATCAGTTTTATTATGGACTTTATAGCTACAAAGATGTTCATTATAACCAATTGTATGAAACATAGTTAAAAGAAAGAATATATTATTCAACTTCTTGCAATAGATTATAAACTGCATTTGACCAAATATAGGTAAATTATTTTTGTTACATATTACAACAAATATACCTTTTTTAAAAAGCATTCCAAATATTCTGATCTCTATGAGCATATTTTTCATCTTTTCGTTCATGTCTGAAGGTAGAGCATGACTGAACAAAAGAAGTCGACATTGAAATCAGTATATTTCTCTTCATATGAGAAGAAAATTAATTGGTATAAGGGAAAATCCTTTTGAAATAAGAAGAAGAGTTAAAATAATATCCAATAAATTTTAGATGAATGATTCACTTTAATCGCTTTATCGGAAGAAGAATCCTTTTTCTGTAAAAAGCTTTGCTTAAAATATAAAATTATGGGAAAAATCACTTTACAAATAGAATACTTTTTTTGGGTGTACTGCATTTTGATATAAGCGTTACTTGTCTCGAGTACTTCATAAGTTTGTCCACCATAAGTTCATCATAAGCATCAGATTTACTCAAAATTCGTTTTGAATTCTAGCAAAATTAATATTCCAACCAAGACTATTAAATTAAAAAAAAAGAAAGAAGATATTCGGTTTGCTTTGTACAAGATTTATGATATCGAAGAGAATGAATTCCTTTCCTTTGGATATATAAGCTTTTCAAAAATTTGCGATGAGTATATTTTAAGACTATGAGACCGAGAAAATATTTTTTCAAAGATGACCATCATTCAAATGGAGGAAAATAAACCGAGTCACTTTTTTAAAAACAGAATAATATTTTTCTTTATGTAAAGAGAGTCTCCAATCCAGTCATTGTTTTAACAATAAATACCACGCATGTAAGAGAAAAGAGAAGCATAATTGAGGTTTATTAAATTTTTTCTGGGATTAATTAAAAATATATCGAGATCTGCTATTCATATTTCTTTTTGTTTACCGAAGCTATCGAAATTCTCTTACATTTGGTAGCTAATAAAATCCACGAATGAAATATTGGGTATACCGGAAGTGGAGCAGAATAACTGCGATTCTTGTTCGCTCGATTATTGGCGTCTTTCTTTTTTTTTAACTGACCGAACGATTTTTTCAGGGAGAACAATAAAATATCCGTATTCTCGGTGAAGGTAGCTCTGGCAACGTTATGCGCTGGAAAGCTCATGGACAAATTTCGATGTAAGTCGCGAGCGCGTGGCCTTCGCACGACTAGATGGTTGAGCACAGGTTCACTAATGAAATCTTTACTTCATCAATGAACAGATATATACTCGCAAATATCCGACAGCAACGGACACATGATACACTGGAGGTTCGCCGATTATCTGAAGGAAGTCCTAGCTCTGACAGCGGCCGTCTATGAATCTCCGTCGTTCGGCTACTCCGACGGTCTCGCTAATTCCATCTTTCCCCCGGTATGTGTACGCTACGTGTGTGCGCACGCTTGATCTAATTTGTTAATATACTAATGGAACGGATCTCTCGTGTGGTTTGTATCTCGACAGAACTCCAAAGTCACCGTGAACGATTTTCTGGACACCCTCATGTCGGATCCCGGACCGCACTGCTTGATCTGGCTGCCGTTGTATCACAGAATGGCAGCTGTGGAGACAGGTAATCTCACGAGATCAAAGTGAGGTCGACTGGAGTCGATCGGCAGAGGAGATTTCACGTAATCTCGATATTTCAGTGGCTCATCCTATAATGTGCGACGCGTGTCACAAGGAGAATTTCACCGGATTCCGCTACAGGTGTCAGAAGTGTCACTCTTATCAGCTCTGTCAAGATTGCTTTTGGCGCGGTAAAGTCTCGGGCACACATAACAACGATCACGAGACGAGAGAGTACAGTAGTTTTGTACGTATTTTATTCACACACAGACAGCCGTGTCTCACGAAATCTTGAAACGTCGTTGTTTGCACGATTAATCGAGAGAATCTGCATGGATCCATGAATTTATGTATCTATAGCGTGTGTTATCAATTTTTTAACGAGCGACGATGAAATTTTCGTTGGCAGAAGTCACCTAGCAAGCAGATTGGCCATTCGCTGCGGAAGAGCTTCAGATGCGTGCCGGAAAAGGGGAAGAACAGCCTGCCGCGGTTTCCGGAACAACCCGAGAAGACGTTAGATCTGTCGCACATAGTGTTAGTATCTTTATCGTGCGCGTAACTCCGCGTCTCTCGCTTATCTCGCCGTCTATCACAGCGTAATTTTACAATCCAAATAAATTCACTACGTTCCAGCCCACCGTCACCTTTACCATCTCACAACGGTTTTCCAGATCCAGGTTTTATGGCTCCCTTTGATTCAGGATCAGTGGACAGCCGTTCGACCCTGAGAAGGTGAGTCCGAACGTACATACGTTACGGCACAATTCGTTTGCCTTTCGATTTGCGCGTAGACGCCATGCTTTACTTATTTCTTTTGTATATCGTCCAGTATGGACAGTTCAAGACTGGACGATGAACATAAATTAATAGCACGATATGCACAAAGGTTGGCACAAGAAGCAAGGACCATGGTAAGTCCCTTGACATTTACTTACTCATTTTATACACTCACTATATTTACGCAGTTACGCCACGTTATAATTCGCTTTGACATTTCAAGCGCGTTCATTACTATTGAGCCTACTCCATTAAATTCGCAAAGGCCGCGAGAGCTAATTAAAACCGCTCTGCGTTTCGCGTCTCGCGCTGTGTGCGCCACTAATATTAATTTCATAACTGCCTCGTTAACAGCCTCGTACCGCATCCAGAATGTCCCAGGCAGATCAAGCAGTAAGTACGCATCGTTTAAAGCAGGGCTGCGGTCGGCTTGCCCAATTCGGCTGATTTTGTCGACTCTATCCTCATTCTTCTTGTTTCATAGCATCTGGGCTGTTCAAGAAGATATAAGACGCTCGAGCTCAGGAACAAATTAACAAATGAATTGTATGGGACGCATAGTGCTTCACGAACTATTTACTACTCAGGTGATGCCGAGATGTTATTACTACATAGTAAGTTTGTGTGTAAGGTGCCATTTTGTTCTTTCAATGCAATTATTTCTCAGATTATTTGCTATTTAAGAAAATATTTCAGTTGAAACCTATTCAGTTTTGAGACGGACGTTCCAAATTATTTGTTATTTGAACAAATATTTCAGATGAAGTTTACTCAGTTTTAAATGGGACGTCTGACGGATGCTATTTACTTGACCTTGAGTGACTAAGGTCATATGAAAGTTATCTTTAATTTATTTCTTTTTAATAGTAGCATAAAATAGTTGAATAAATGATTACATTGGAAGAACAAAAATGACATGGCAGCACGAATAGAGCTCGTGGAGCACCATGCGTCAAAATTCCGCAAGATTCATAGTTGATTCGTTCCTGAAGTCGAACGCTTACATCTTCGTGAACAGGCCAAATGCTATGAAACAAGAGGAGCGGAGATGGCAGTCGACAAAATTGGCTAAAGTGAGCAAACCGGCAGTAGCCCTGTAGTTTAGACTAGAGTATCACTGGAAGTTCCGCTGCGTGGCTCGTTTCACACGTTTGTTAACTTTCCTGCTTGCAGGGCAGAGCACCGTCGGACGCGAACCTGGCATCGTTGGACGCGTCGCGGGCGCAGCGTGAGCTTATATCGCAGTTAGAGGCAAAGAACAAGGAAATAATGCGCGAGATAGCAAGGTTAAGGTATACCTGTGTCGTTTATATTCCTTTATATCAAGCCTAAACCTCGATATCATCCTGTTGACCCATCCTAGGATCACGCATGTTCAGAACGTTTTGTTTCGCTTTGTGTGTTGCCTTGGTTGCATAGCTCGCACAACGGAACAAAGAGAAACAATACATATATCAACTGTTTACCAACTACGAACTCTCGACTACTAACAACGATTAAACGACGATTGCTCGCGTTCAGAAGATAAACGATTTCACCGACATTGATCTCACAGTCTGTCGCCGATCTTTCTTGGACTGACATACTCATTAGATTCATATACTAACTACATCAACCACACACGTCACGTCGCTTATAATAAGATAGACACGAACTAGTGAAATGGGATATTACGCGGTATTGACATATGACCACGGAATATTTCACTTCCTCATGTTACAACACGTCTGAAAATATCTCAGAGAAATTCTCATTTCCGCTACAGAAGGCAACAAGAGATAGAAGCGGCGGGTTTGGAGAATCCGGCGTTAATGTCTGAATTGCGAGCACTGAGGCAACGGAAAGACGAGTTAGAGACGCATCTGGCGACATTGCAGGATTCCAGGAGGCAGCTTATGGTACAGCTAGAGGGTCTCATGAAAATGCTAAAGGTACTTACATGACATGATTATACCGATTAGATGTAATTAAAGTTAATTAAACAATGCATATAATTCGCTATCTCTCGCGACAGATCAAATTAAACGGAGGGTTCAATTAAATTATTTAACCTCCACCGACATTTGCGAGAGCGACTTGCAGCGCCGAGTAAATTGCGCTGTTTTGCGATTGCACATAATTAATTGTGTAATCACACGGATTTAACACGATTCCACCTATCGCCACAGAATCACCAAGCGTCGCCGCGATCAACACCGAACAGTTCACCGCGGAGTACAAAGTCGCCGCCTTTGCCGCCTGGTGCTATTCCCAGCAGCAGATCGGCACCGCCGACTCCCGGTGGCCCTCTGTCCACGACACCGCAGCAGCAACAGCAGCAGCAGCAACAGCAGCAGCAGCAGCAGCAGCAATCGCAGCAGCATCAAAATCAGCCGCAAATCTCGCAGAGCTATCAAAGTCCCGTTCCAACAACGACAGTGGCTAACGCGCAAGGCAACGCTATGCTCGGCACGATACAGAACCCTATCCCTGATAGCTTGTCGTGCGTTGGCGGCGATGTAAGGTAGGCAAGCATGTACAAAGCGAAATACGTTACAGAAGAGAAAGGATAACAAACTCGCGAGAATATGAAAACAAAAGAACAGACACAAAGAGACGGACGATTGTAAATGTCGAACGGATGCAACACGTGTGATAGACAAACGATTGTACGCCTGATTCACGTGGGGATTCACGAGATGTCGACTGCACGCAGTCAGATATCGCGTGTCCTTCCATCTAGATACATTCCCGCGTGAATTTCCGAAACATTTCGTGTACATACGTGAAAAAGAGAAGACGCGGTTGTAACTACAGTAGTAGCTATATACTTCAATCGCTAAGCCGTTGGCAGCTAAGTGATTATACAGGGTGTCTGATGCGAGATGCAACGACGTTCGATACATGTAAATCGGGTGAAACTGAACATAAAAGTCCTCCTACCGTTTCGCAAGCAACTACGTTAAGTTATTCGTTCAGGAGGATTGGTGAATAATCACGCGCTTAATGAGATTGTAAATTAGGTGTCAAACTGAGAGGATAAGGGAGAACGCTATTTCGCCCTTCGCTTGCTATCGATTGGTAAACTGCGAGTAGAGGCTCAAGGCATCACCTCGTGCGCGATCATTCGTCAACACTCTTGAGTCAGTAACTCGAAATTTTACGTGGTTGTTTGCAGAATGGCAGGATACTTTCTCGTACAGTTTGACCTGGTCTCCACGTTCATGTGCGCGTTGTTGTGTTTCGCCTCAGACACCTTGTATACAGTTCACATTAACGGTAGTGTAAAATGAGGTGTCATTCTTCTCCGTGCCTACTTGAGATATCGCAAGATACGCACCACGTTGCGTTTCAGTCCCATCAGATTATTATCGAACGAATGAACAAGTACTTGTACGTACTATGTTGAGAGGAAATCAACTTTCGAGACGAACAGAAGTGCTCATTGTCATCGAATATCACGTTTATTGCTTGCATGCGAAACGTCTATCCCGATTACGTGTCTACTGAAAAATCGGCTCCCTCCGTCGACATTACCGTAGCAATCTATATCTAGAGATACTGTTGCACATACCGTACAACTACTACTTCACGATTAGTTGATGAACTCTCGAGAAAGAGAACTTTCCTCTGCATGCAAGTATAAGCGATGAGATACTTCTTATTGAGCTAGTAGCAAAAACAATGTGGTACTAGCGCGAAATAAGTGTAAGGCAGTGAGTACCTCGTATAAGAATGTTACTTGAAATCCCGCGTCAGGTCTATATCAACTTGAGAGAAAGAAGAACATACACACATAGTAGAGATATTTGTATATCCATGTCATGTCATGTCGCTTATCCCCGTTTTAATCATTTCTTTTAAGTTGTATTAGGTCCTCGATATGTTTCTTATATACGAAGATATCTCTTCTTTTAGTTTGTTGTCATGTTTAGTCATCTTTTAAATGTATCATTTATGTACAGTACACACCCGACTAATTAATCCTGTAAGGAGAGAGTATTGAGATGCGTTGGATATATAAGTTTAACGCGTACGAGTTACCCACCCAGTACCCCCGTTTCGTTGCAAAGCTTGCATAAAACACCGTCCACCTTTTAACCCACATTGTTATGTTGTATTTATCACACGCGTGAACGTTGCGATATGTAAATATATTGTCCTGCAAGTAATGCAATATAGCCAGACGCGCGGCAAATACTTAGACGAAATGGACACGAAGACCCTGCAATGCGTTCACACAACGTTTGCCATATATTGACGTTACTTCTGTTACTTAAAGTATCATTAGAATCCAGTAAACACCGTAGTCCTCCCCTCCGAGATCGTGCATGTGTGTACTCTGTTACAATCGATAATTTGCCATTAATTTGAAAAAAAGAAAAAAAAAAGAAGAGAGAAACAGTTTGTAGACGCTTGTACGTTTGATCGCGCGAGTAATTGTAGCGAATTGAATGTGTAAGAATTTTACGACAAATGGAATGAGACAACGCTTATGCAATAAAAGTTGCATGCCGCAAATTTCTGTTAAGATTTTCTTTTTGGAAATTGCTTCGCGCCAAGAAAATAGAGATTTTCGATGTCAGGTCTGCGTTCAGGACAAACAGCTTACCAGGGAGCGGCTCCAGCAGTGCCAATAATAGTTTGGGCCGATCCTTAAGAAACGACTTACTGGTAGCCGCCGACAGCGTTACTAATGCCATGTCGACGCTCGTGAGGGAATTAAATTCAGGTATGTCGAATAAAAATAATGCGCTATAAAACTGTTAGTATCGGGCGCGACTGATTAATTGGACGTAAATGCGCAAGCAGGAGGAATATCGGCACGAGAATATCTTTCTACGATTACAGCTGTGTCAGAACAAATCAGACTCCATTCCGCTTTGTGTCACTGATAACAATTCCTCCTGGCGCAACTGTGTCCAATTATGGTGTTTATAGTTTTAAATGGAACATACGACTATATAAAATATGCCACACGGTCTATCGCTCTCCGCTAATAGTGTATTGAACCTCGTTATGTAGTAGATGATATTAATATCACAATGATATAGGCATTTCTATCAGATACTGAGAAGAAGGTAATTTTTCTAAGAGGCAATAGAGAGTTACGGGGGGGGGGGCAGGGGGAAGGGGTACCTCCTTGTGAGTTGTACAGGTCAATTTGATTACTGCAAGCTTAGCTACGACGCATCTATTAGCATCCATCGCCGTGTTTTAGCTGGTAGCATGTTAGTGATACGATGAATATATGAACGACTTCAGTGGAGCTGTAAATATATCGAATTCGGTTGTCTCGGAAGGCGAGGTGAGCAATAGATAAACTGATTTGCATTCACCGAATCATCGTCCGTAGCATTTTATATATAACAAGATCATATACATATATATATATATATATATATATTTACTACTGTTATTACTATTTATTATCACTATTATCGTTACTATTTTTGCTCCTGTTCTACTTTTACTACTCTCATTACTATATCATATTTATTATACTTATAGATGTACGTATTGATTATTTTGCATATTTTACGCTACTTTACGGGAACTACTTTTTCCCACACATAATCGTCCTGAACATAAAAAAAGAAAAGAAAAGATAAGGACGAGAGACGGATGTAGTTAGCGAATCTATTAGACCGGGAAGCGAAACTTCCACGCAGTATGTATGCCAGCATATTTCATTGTTTTCAATTCGATTTTCAAAAGTGTGAAGAGATAACACACGACGCAGGTTTTTCTCCCTTCTCAAATATCATTAAGAACTATCGTTCAAGTCAATCGTCTCAATCGTCGCATTAGAGCTAGATGTAAACGGGCATGCCACGTCGCATTTATATTCTCTCACATCGTCGGAGTCATTTAGCATGAGGAAATATTACTTTCTTTGTCTGTTGCTAGTCTCAATATTCATAAACGATCAGTGATCCATAAATGAGAGAACATCCTGTCGGATATCCTCGAACAGAAGAGAACTCAGATGCACATAAGATATAGATACCATCTCTGCCACACCTTCTTATTCACGTACATTCGTGTTCCGAATAGTCGCGTAAGTCTTTGCAGGAAGACAATGATGATGATCGACACAGATTCATTATCCGTTCAATTAATAATTCCGTCGTAAAATGCCGCCGAAAAAATAAGTGACTCTCGATGACCCGGTTTTGCAGTTCTGCGAGACTTTGCATTACTCGGAACTTTTACGAGTGCGAAATGTGTCTAATTATCATATACGATAAACATGCAAAAATCTCTCATTCCTAAAAATGTAAATACATAATTCGCACGCGAACCCTAGAGCTGTTGCGTTTCTTCCCCTTTATCGTTTAGCGTTTATCGACGAGATATGCAGCCAATTTTCTCCTTTAACGAACACATTTAATTTTGTTTATATTTAATTTGAAAAAAATCGTCGGTTTGTGATTCAGCAACTGCAGTTTTCGTTAATCTTCAATACCCAATCGAATACCCAATGATTGCGAGAGGATGCAACAGTCCTGGAATGTCGCGTGCAATTTTCTCTCTATACAGTTTGTTTCCAAAGTTGTTCGGTACAGCTCGACTGGATTCTCAAAAGGATCCTCCGAAAGGATGGGAAAATTTATACGAATAAATGTGTCATTGAACAACGCTGTTCCCAGATGCGAAGCATAAACCTGCAAATCTTTCCTCGCTACTTGATGGAACCAAAATGGCAGAGCTAGTCCGAACCATTGGAAAACATTCTGCGTACACTTGCCTGTTGCCATTTCTATACTCTCTCGGTTTCGTTTATATTCTTTCTAGAATAGAGTTAGTTACTAGTTTAGTGATAGCACAGACTACACGACACGCAAGACAATGAATAACGGCAACGACAATCTGCAGGCGACCTGCAGTTCCGCGGAAAGAACAGATATAATTCAAGCGGCATCTCCTAGTAAAGAGAACTTTGCGAGTCGAATTGGCCTTTCAAAAAGTGAACTCTTCGTCGCACTCGCCGAGCGAATTCCTCGACGATAGAACGATAGAACTAGAAGATATCTCGTTTATTGATCGAAATTAACGCCTGAATTTCACGAGGAAAAAGAAAAAGAACGCTTGACGACATAAAGTGCGAAAAGATAAAAGCAGACACGCCTTGGAATTGTGTTATTTATGTTCGTATAATTATATTACAATTATAATACTTATGTGCGATAACATCGAGGCTCAAAAGCGTTACGACCAGCCTCCCGGTGATTCTTGCCGAGCCTTGATATAATAAGCATATCCTTCTCGATGTCAAGAAAAGACACATGTATACGATTACATCATGTATGCTCTCGTAACTGAATCTGGACGACAAAAATAGACGTATTTCTATATACCATATACAATATACAAATGACACTTTAGACGTGTTGTGGAATGTGTGTGATGCACCCCCTGTGAATGTGTCCTGGTGGCTTGCAGACTCAGACCAGGAGGACCATTCTCACAACTCTGGACGAATGAACATCAGAAAACCGCTAGGTAAGTATATCTCTCCCTCTCTTTCTCTCTCTCTTTTCTCTCTCTCTCTCTCTCTCTCTCTCTACATCACCAAAATTTTACCACTTTACTTCTGTTTTCGTTCGCATCTTAGGCGTTTGCAATGTCGCTCTTCTAATCGAAACAATAATCCCGAAACATTTCGAGCGTCGATATCATCGACGAGAGTCTCTCGGTTCACCTTCAGTTTCGTCATCAATCTCGCAAAGATCAAGCTGTACTCATGTTCACACGTAGAAATGCTTTCGGTATATTTTTTCCTTTCATCGTCATGAGCATCATCACGCACTACGACGTACGATGAGTCCTCTTATGAATTTCACGTGACCGTGTGATCCTGATTACACTACGATTACTCTTATTCGTCTACAGCGGAATTGTCCAACACACGCTCGCGAGTAACAACGCTCTGCATCGTGAGAATAAAAGGAGACACGCCGAAAACCGAGCTGCAGGTCACGCGAGCGCATGTTGGATAATTCTGGGTCTATATAGTTGTGCAAGTTGGTGTATGCGCAATGTCGGATACGATATCCCTTTGCCACGAACTTTCACGTAATTCTTCTTCGAGAAGTCGAGGCTTTTCCCTCACACGGGAGCGGAATTCGATTCAGCGAATGACAACACGCTATACTTAATCTCTCGTAATCGCTCGTGCTGAAAGAGACGTGACCGTGACGAGAAAGATCCGCGCGTTCGTTGCGAGCGTATTTTGACGCGGCTCGCGTCTACTTGTAGACTTTGAAGCCGGCGAGGACGGGGACGACAGCAGCGGCGGCGGGAACTCCTGGCGGGAGGAGCTGCAGCGGCGCTACCAGCAGGAGAATGACTTCCTGGCGGAGTTGCGGGCCCGCAACGTCAACATGCCGCAAACGCCGTCGACCACGCTGTCGAGCGATCAAGAGGAGCGTGGCGAGAGGGAGGAGGCCGAAGGAGAGAAGGAGGATGAGAATGACTCCAATTGGGCGGAAGCGGTGAAGAGATGGGTCAATCGATAAGCCGATCTGGAAAGAGAAGGATATTATGATATTGAGCGTTAGGTGTTTTTGTCGACGGTACGCGTTTGTTGAAGAAATCGCTGGGAGGTGGAAGGTCGCGGCGACCGGACCACGGTCGTATCACATATACACACTGCGGTCACATACTTTGCGTATACTTTGATATTAGTATACAATGTAATACTCGATAGAGAATTGAATGTCGTGCGATATCGGAAAGCTATGGATTCGTAAACTTGCGGTACTTGCGATCGGGGAGAATCTGGGAGCGGAAGCGCGAGCGAGAAAGGGAGACGACGGGCGTCTCTCTTCGAAATGGCGAGGCAAGTACCGCGATTATCACTCTTAGAATTGTATTTGTATATCGCGAAGGAGCGATACACGGGGCGCGGAGGGATTTTGCTACTTCATTCGTCTACAATTTGCAACGTAATGAGACTTGTAAGGTTTCAGCGACAAGGTGCCGGAGTCGCACACTTACTCGTATGTAAGCGAAGGAGTCGCAATCGAGAGGTGGAGGACACAACTGCGTTTCATCGCGTTTCTTAATTTATTATCTCGTGACTGTTATATTTGTAATTATCGTCGAGCGAATTAGAGACGCATCGTACGCATATAGCGCGCTGCTTAGGCGCGATACGCAACGGTACTGCGTATCACACACGTGTAATTCCATCGCTTTGACATTCATTTGTAAGGGAGTGCGCGTATATACTCATTCACTCACTCACTCACTCACTCACTCACTCACTCACTCACTCACTCACTCACTCACTCTCTCTTCTCCTCTCCACGCAAAACGGAACACGCAAGCGACGATTAGTCGAGATCTTGGTTTCGTCGTCTCGTAATATATTCATCCTATTCAAGACATCTATATCATAGAGATCATGCGAGAGGAAATTTTGCACACACTCAAGTTACACACCATTGACCAAAACTCGAACTAGTTAACTACAGCAGCGAACGCGACTGCGATTAAACCAATTTTTTAATATAAACTATACGAGCGTGATTTAGCGTGAACTTAGTTTGAGGAAGCCAAAGTGTGTGTGTGTTTTTGTACATTCGTACCGGCTCGGAGTACGCGATACACCATTAGGTAAGAGGTAATATATATAATACGTGTGCGGATACGAGAGTGTGTCGATGCACGCCATAGATTTCGCTTCGAACGACGTCTTTGCATTCGACCGCATTTTTAATTGTGGGAGCGCGAAGAGAGTACAGGCGAACGAAGCTAGTCTTACGTACAAAGTACTTATCTTTCAGTTCCTAGGATAGAGAGCATTCCGATTAACGATCCAGTTCTTAGATCACTACTGTTATCAACCCTCGAACGGTGGGATCGATTGGACGGATTGTCTGCAAGCCATACCGAGATGTTCAATGCGCGTAGAACAATAATCTTCGATGAATTTTGACCGCTTTACATCTAATTATTCACTCCCCTCCCCCCTCCTCCCGTTCAAAAAAAGAACGATGCTGCGTAAGAAGGAAGATCAGAGGAGCGTAAAGAGAGCAAGGTGAAACACGTATCCTTCTCTCATGTACCTGATCTTAACACTTTACTTATCAGCACCGTCAATAGAAAGACTATCAACAGGCTTCCGGGCGGTAAAGGATTTCTTTTCTATTATTGAACCAACGTACGCTTTCGTAACTTAAGAAGAAACAAGTCGAGACACGGTTGAAACTTGTTGGAGCAAAAACCAAACTAATATGCGAGGCTCAACAATAGAAAACAAACCTAATGTTTCAAGTGATCCAGTGTCGGCCGGACGAGGGTTAATAAGAAAACTGACGCATTTTGTAAGATTTATCTCTAGCATGCCCTGTCCGAAATATCCTATGTACATACGATACGTATACAATTTCAGAATTTCTTTTGTCTATCACTTCACGTACGAAAATGTAGCGCCTATATTATACGAATAAAAATTTATAGATACACATCGATTATACTGAATATCTTTTGCGATTACTCTATTCTATATATTATTGCTTTCTATCTTATTTCGCTTTCCCTCTTATATATCCGTACTGTTTTTGGCACATATATAATAAATAGTCGATAAAAAAATATACGAGCGCATTGGAACTCAAAATTATATAAGCGACCTTGAGCTGAAGTCAATGTCCAGGATCGCTCGTACCTTTTTCTATCTTTAAGATGTCGAGATTGACATCTATATTTGCAATTGCAAAATATATACTATGTATTAGAAAAATAATATTTGCATTGATTACCTGCGTACACATTATTTTTTTTATAATGTAGTTTATATATAAAGTTACTAATGTAGGAAAGAAGTTTTTTGTATCACTATTTATGCATAGAAAAAATTTGATATATTTGATATAATTTCTATATATGATAAATTAATACAATTAATACATTATCTCAAAAACTAATATAAAAAAAAACAGTCATCAATCTATTATACATTTTATATTACTTCGTGGTTTTACTTTTCTTTCGTATTATTCTAAATTTATTTATTGAAATAACATATATACACATATTATGAGAATAATGATTAAATTTGTATGATTGAATCAACCACAACAATCAATTTTGTAGAAAAAGTATTTGATAAATTTTGTTATTACAAAACTAATAAAATGTTCCAATGATTCCAAATTAATTGTAAGTATTGACCACAATTCAACCATTAATTTCATTTTCGATACGTTAAGTTGCTCAAATGTCATTTCGACTTGTGTTTTGGTTGCATACTTATCTTTATATATCTTCTATCATATTCTTTCACCAGATCATCTCTACTTTATATATCACCATTGTTCATTGCTCATAATAATTTTGCTCTTTTTTTAGAGATCGAATATCTGTTCTGGCATGCACTAGTAACTGCTTTATTTTCTACCTTTAAAAATAAATTATTCATACTGTCATTTTTCTGCCTAGTATTAGTTCGATACAAGACATTGAGGAATAAATTATGCAGAATATCAGCTATGTAACACTTAACAAAAGAAACAAAATATTACTGAAAACTAAAATATTTACCTTGCTAGGAGCAGTCCTTACTGTTTGTAAACCAGTGACGAAAGTTTCATTCAATTTTTTTGGACTATTACATGTTGGACTTTTTACGTCAAAATTTTGACATTTTTTTAAACTGATCAATATCAGCTTTTCCATTTCATAAATTCGATCTACTAAGTCAGTTACATTGTCTACCAGACGTTTATCATATATCATTTCACTAAAAACAAATAAGATGTTAAAAGCATTATAATTTAACTTACTATTAGAAATAAATACATACGGTTTTTTAAATTGATCTTCTACTAGAGCAACAACTTCCGTTTGTGTGTTCAGACATCTTTTAATATGTTTATGTAACAATTCCCATCGTTTTGCATTTTTAAACATGTCCCTAGTGTGGTCAAGGTGAATCATAATATCAAGATTAGAAGTAAATAAAAGAATAAATAAAGAATATAAAGTACCTTTTCATAGCCTTCATATAAGTAACTAAAGTATCACGATCAGATTTTGTGAATATTTCTTCTGCCTCCATGACAGAACCATGTAACAACTTTTTCATGCTAGAAAAAATATAGAAATTAGTTTCAGTAGCAAATTATAAATAATCAAATCGATTTATCATTAATGTAAACAAACATACTGTTGCAAATTTTCTATTTCTTTCTCTTTCTGTGACAACTTATGTTTTAAAGTTTCATACTCTGTGTATTTTTCTTTGAGATCTTTCATCTGTTCCTTTAAAAGATAAATAGTTGAGTTCTTTTTACTGATCTCACTTTCTACTTTTCGTACTTCTTGTCTGAGACCTGCATTTTGTTTTTCCAGGGTTTCATTCTTTGAGGTATAATACTTTATGTTTTTCTCATTGAGCAAAACTTGAAATTTCAAACTGTCTATCCTTTCTTGTGTGGACAGATTGTCAGTGTTGCTGGCTTCATTACTTGCGAATGTAACATAAAGTCTTTGTGTCTTCTCTTGTGATGTTTTTTCACGGCATTCTGGACAACTATTTGACCTAGAATATAAATGTAAAGTAAAGTTATTTAATATATAATTATCTGTTGTATCGGCAGGTAAATTATGATAAAGTATATAATAAAGTTGAGTCAAATTATCTAATTTACTCTGTCAAGTTACAAATAAGAAACAATGAGAATAAATTAAATCAACCTCGACAATGTTTTTACAAATATAAAAAATAACCAATCTTTGTACCTCGTCAGCCAACGTGACAAGCAGTTAACATGAAATACATGTCCACAACGAGTGACAGCAATATCATCAGATTGTATAAAATTATCACGACATATAGTGCAGACGATATACATCTTACACGCAAAAAAGAAACAAGTAGAAATATGATTTCGCGGGATAATATAATATATTTTGTTTAACTTTTCTGTCATAAACAATAACTTCTTCGCGATTTCAGACAGACTAAACTCACGTATATTCAACGAAATATTCAAGCGCCATCTGATAGTATCAGAGGAGAATTAAGTTAAAGAAAATGGTTTTTCCGCTAAATTTAAATAAACTCCTTCCTATTTTAACTTTTTTAATTCAAATTGTGAAAAATCTGCAAATTATTAAATCAAACATTAATTATGATGTTATATCATTTTATTTATTTCTCTCTGCTAATATTTGAGCTAATAATATTTCATTTGTTGTTCGATCACATATTGTTAGATGTGCTGTCGAGTAAAGTATATATTTATAAGATTTTAAACAGTTTTGCAGATATTAAAGAATTTGTGTTTGAATAATTCCCGGAAATGTTTTCAGTATTGACAGTAAACATCGGAAGTGCTATTTTCATTCCGAATATGAGGAGACGTAGTACGATTTAACGATGGTGGATTAAATGGACCTCTGCTTTCAAGTAGTACAACTCAATCGCAAATCAAAGTTTTTATTTTTCTTATGTACCATGTGAAACCTTTTTATTTTCAAATAATACAATTTCCCGACAAATTAAATTAGAGGTACGTTTATTCTCGAATAATATAACTCAGCAATGGATCAGAGAGATTTTTTTATTCTTCAGCCAAGTGAAATAATGTGTGAAAAACTGTTGCAACTTTTAGTATAACCTTACTAGTAATAGTGACACATAGATTTATCAAGATTCGGTATTTATTATTCTAAGCCTTAAATTCATAATATGCAGATATTGCTAATATATATTTTAATATTAATTGATATGATGAATGGGAAAATTTGTTTGAAGAATAGTTAAAATTGGAGAATAACCTGTAGCAGTAAGATTATTGCATCATAATAAATTATATTCTTAAAATTTAATGTGTCTTATTCCTTTGTGCACATAGGAATAAAATAATTATAATAAATACATAAAGGTTTATGTTAAGCTCATATTTTACAAAATGTACAAATCTCAATTTGTTGGCCTGGATGATAAACCATGTGAAACAAAGTGTTTGTTGTGCAACTGCACTTTTGTTTTACCAACAAATGAAAATGATTTTCTGACACATCTATATGTGACGCATCGTCTTATTATAGGAGATATTTGGAAAATAGCTAGTTTGAAGAGGTAAAATAATTATTGTCTTATCTTATTAGTCCTATATATAGCTTTACTATTTATCGAACATGTATAATATAAACATATATTGGATATGTAATAGTTACTTTTTTTCTATTTCCAGTTATATACACTATTGGAGTATAAAATTTAAAGAAGCACCATTAACAACTTATTGTACTATGTTGTTAATGGATTGTACACCAGATGGCAAGCCAAGTAAAAATGAATATTACTTTTTGCTTTCTGATTGTTTATTAGAAGACAAAACTTTGAGATATGAAATACACCAAGCTAAACTAGTATGTATATAATGTGCATATATATATATATATACACACACATTATATAATATATATATTATATGTAATTAAGAAAAAAAGTATGTTATAAATATGAAACATTATTTTAAGGAATGGGCATTAGCACAACAAGAAGCTGAACGTGTAGATACAAGTTTTAAGCGTGGTTGCATGTTCTGTCGTATGGAATTTTGTGGATCACGCGCTGTTTATATAAAACATCTATATCAAAAGCATAATATTCATTTTGGCAAATCAGAAAATTTAGTATTTATCGATGAGCTTCTGGATAAAATTCAAAGTACTATTGAGAGGTATTGCATTTATAAGTTTATTACTCATCAATAATTTACATGTTATACATACATAAGCAACTATATCTAAAATAATAAGATATGTCATAATTATCTGTGTTATTTTTCTAGCTTAATATGTATTTACTGCGAAAAAACATTTAAGGATCGTTTAGTACTGAAGGAACACATGCGAAAAAAATTCCACAAGAGTATAAATCCTAATAATAAAACATATGATAAATTTTATATAATCAATTACTTGGAGCCAGAAAGGACTTGGAAGCAAAGACAGGTAAATGTAACTTATACTTTACAATGAAGTTTTAATATTTCAGAAATAACTTGTTAATTTTTAAACAGAATAATCAAGAAGCAAAAAATAGTCAAACTCTGGAAGGTGTTAACAGTGAAAATGAAGATGAAGAAGGTTCATGGTCCGACTGGAATGATGAATCTGTTGCGATAACATGTTTATTTTGTAATTATAGCAATAACGAATTAGTATACATCTTGAAACATATGAAAGAAGAATATAATTTTGATTTTGAAGAGACAGTCAAAGACTTGACCTTTTACCAAAAGGTGAGTGCTGTGTAGCATAGTTGTCAGCTGTACACTTTTGAAAAATCTACTGTGATATCTCTATAATATATTCTCATTATTACAGGTAAAAGTGGTTAATTATATAAAAAAACAACTTCAACTACAACAATGTATTTTTTGTGAAACAAAAATAGATAATATTTTGGAGCATATGAAAAATGAACAACACTATAAAATCCCTGAAACAAAAGTCTGGGATCAACCTCAGTCAGTATATATAATCAAAATAAAATGTACAGAATTTGTATTTAATATTTTGTACTCAATGTGTATGTTTCGTGTTTGTTCCAGGTATTATTTTCCTATGTCCGAAAATGACTCATTTTTATACAATCTTGATGCAATTAGTGATAGTGATGAGGAAAGCGACATTGAGAATCTCAATAAAACAACGTAAGTAACATGAGGGATATAAGCATAATATACAATAATATACAATAATTATAAACGGAACAAACAATGTTCAACAAATGTATATTTACAAAATTTCAGGTCCAATCTGTCTTTCTCATCTGAATTTCCCATTCAAAGTTTTACAAGTTAACTGTGATCTCATTTTATGTCGAATTATAGCAAACATTGAAGTCTTCTTATATTTTTACTCTGTTAATAAATATTAAACTTAGTTGTATTTGTCGAGTTTGTCTATTTCATGATGTATTTTCTAATTTTATCAAATATCACAAACGTAACACTATATATTTTATTTAAAGGCTATATACATACACAAGTATTTAGATATATTTCACAGACATATATTTATAAAATTTAAATAATATGTATATATAACAATTATTGACGAGGATAGCACGAGGAGGTAAATATAAAAAATTATAAACGTTATACACAGTATCGTATTATTTAATGACACTATATTGAAAATTTTTGACTGTAGTATATCATGTATCACTTTTTTATTCTGGTGAACAATTTTTTACCACGAACTTTGGAAACACCTTTGCTACCTAATGATGTTTCATTTGATGGTAAACATTTCTCGTGCAAGCCTTTATACAACAATTCAGCATCATTTGTATTCCCAAGTATTTCTTTTAGTTCTTCCTAATTATAAAATATGAAATTAATTATTTATGCTTAATAATCTTTTCTTATTTATATTTTATAATATAATAAAAAAGTATGTTATAAAAAATTTTTTTAATTTTGATTTTTAATGTACGCTCACCTTTGTAAGTTTAATAAGATGATCCAATGACTGTCCTTTATTCAGTAAACTACGTAAATTTTTTGAATGCACACCAGGTAATTTGGCCATAAAATCTTGGATCCGAGGGTTATATTTTTCTGCCATTACTTGTTTGTCTTCTGTATTGTCATCTGCTCCGATTTTAGCGGCTATATTTGCATCAGGCTGATTCCGTGTTTGCTGGAAATATACAGAAATGAACATGGTTGTCACTAACACCATTACGCTGAGAAAATTTATGTCACCTTTAACTCTTCGAACAATTGTGCTGTCGCGTGTGGACTGGGAGACCAAACAAGTTTTAATTTAGGAAAATGGAGTGTTAGTAATTGTAGCTTTGCTGTTATCTCTGTATTTTTAAGGTCTCTACTGACATAGTAATTTCCCTGCAAGAATATGTAGTGATAAAATTATTGAAAATTATATGCGGTATGAAGAAACTATTGCGCTTTATCGTAAATATTATTTCTACGAGAGTACCTGGAAACAGAATGGCTTGTTTTGGTCAAATTCTATAAGAAGCATGGGTTTGGCGTAATGTCTCGTCATGGCGACCGCTTGATTATATAGCCTTCCGGAAAGCAAGGAACCAATAAGATCGGACACGCTTTTCCTCTCGACGCATATTTCCGGCGTAAGGATATAATCACCCACCTGTAGCAATGTTGCAACAATAAACGATCGTAAATAACAATTAGGTGCTTATAATAAATAATAAATTTCGTACTTTTGACACACTTACCACTAATGTCACTGGTTCGATTTTAATACCGCGTGTGTACAGAATGGCAGGTAACTCACTCCTAAATTCTCTCATATCGACAATAACTTTTTGGATCACTGTAGCCTCAGACTGCATTCCACCTTTACGTGTATTTTCTTCATTCGTGTTATTCGACTGAATTGCAAGGGTCAAACAGTCCTCTGATTTTCCATCTTGATCTTCGGGCACAACCATGGTCTAAAAAAGAACGTACTTGTATCTTAAAAATATTCGAAAAATAACGATTATTTCGTTATTATTATTCATAATAACGAAATTTACGTGAAACGTCATGGCAATTCGAATATACTCACCGTTTTTGTATTAATTAAAGAATTAAACGCTTCTTTTTCTCGTCGCAAAGAAGTCAGATATTCTTGTTCCTCAACGGATCCTCCATAAATCAAGAAATATACTTTCAAATTTAACGACGGATTATTATTCTGATACACCTCCAATTGTCTAACGATACCGATATCAGCTACATACAAAATAACATTGTTTGGCGTATGCTCCGTCAATGTTCGCAGCAACGCCATCGGATCACCGCCCTTTTTTATGGCTTGTATAATAATAACAGGTGCAGACGTTGCACAATTGGTTAAATCCAACTCCGCAATCTTGAAACAAATCAGACAGATATTTACATATAGAGATTTTCTTTTTTTCATAAGCTTACGTATATCTTTCGTAATAAAGTATTTTCATACTTGCGAACATTCTTCGAATAGAGTCTGATGTTTTACATCAGCTGTAGAAGTGCTCGGCTGATCCTCATCTACGCATTTCTGCGATAATGTAAGCACATAAGTATCTTGATCTTCGTGCTTTCCTTCATCTGCGTTATTTTCAGTTATCGACTGATCCTTCGCGTTCGTTTTATCATTGTCACTTGTCTTTTGCTGTTTAGTGTGCGACAGCTTTTTCAAAGCCTCGTAAAGTAGATACTCATTTGCGCCCATAGTTAAATAATTTTTCAACTGATAACATATACTGTTATCGTGTACTAAGATAAGAACTTTCTCGACGTTTCCGTCTTTCCTTTTCTTATGTTGTATCTGAATCTCGAACAGAGCTTCCGATAAGGCTTTCCATTTTGGATTTGGTTCTGGTTTCAGTTCATCCCTCTCAGTATAAACTCTGCTCTTAGCGTATTTGAACAAATTCTCGGCTTCATCCAACATTATCCAACCACTGGCCTTTACAGCATAATCCATCGTGCGTAAACGATTCAACATGAGATAAAACGAAACAGAATCTTCGTACGTCAGACATATAATGAGAGATCGTAATGTTTTCAAATCGGAAAACAATTGTTTGGTCGAGGAGCTAAGCTGATGCCAAATTGGATCCAATTGCAAATGTAACTGCTTGTGAAATTTCTTCGCTATTGCATTCTCCACAGTTAGTTCGTCTAGTTCTAAATATTTATTAAGCCTCTTCAATTCTTTTATTATGTAATTCATAATATCTAGTAAGGCCGTTTGAATGTTTTGCATCTTTGGTGTGAACTTTGCATGCAACTCTATGACATCAGGCTCATGTTTCGATAAACAATTATTTACGGTACTGTGAAAACGAGGCCATAGATACAATTTTTTTACAAAAAGAACTTTCATGACTCGTTCTACTTGAGAGTATCCGACTGTAAAAGCCAGGGAGGAATTTGTGAACGCCTTGATAAATCCAGTCTTGTTGTTTTGCCTGTACAGGCGCAGCGCAAACGCTTCTTGATATGCGTTCCGAATATTGTGAGCTCTGTACACGAGTATTCCAGTGACCAAGTGCAGCGGAACTCTGTTCTTCAACAGATCCACCACCAAGATACGTCCCGATATGAACAGCACTCCGCCCTCCAAGTACATAATTTCCCTATTATATTCAATAACAGATCTTACCAATCGCATTTGTGCTTGTGAAAAGATTAAAGATGTAATACTTTTTAATATACCTTTCGTTGGAGGGACATTCAGCGTTGACTATACGAGGTAATATATTCGTCCCATAACTTTTAAGTAGCTCTATGAAATAACGCTCATCATAATCAGTGGTTCCCAAAACTATAACCAGATTGCCTGGATCTGAGTAAGCCTTCAGTATATTTGCAAAAATGGTTTCTATTCCAAGGCCCCTACAATATTTTCCATCATACAATCAATATATGATCTCTCGCGTAATATACGACGACAAATGAAGAATAGCAACGCTTACTTAGCTGTAATAACCAATCCATCCTCTTGAAGGATTTCAAGAAAGATTTGGTTCTCATACTCCAACATGTTTACTGCCAATTTTCAACTCACGTTTTACTTAAATTTCTTAATCACTTTAGTGCTTACAATAATAGCTGAAGCAAAAATTCCATAAAATACCATACTAGATTAGCAAAAAATGAAACATGCACTTTCTGAAACATTAAAGAAAGATATTTATATCAGAGACTAAAAAAATTAATATTTAAATAAAAGATAAAAGGTAGAGATAATAGAGAGGAGGAAGAATAGCTACTTTGTTATCTTGATCTCTGTAAGTATTTGATGTTTGATCGTAGGGTATGTCGTCTTCAACCATCACTTCAAATACTAACAGTGTATATTTACTAATTTCATGCGATGGATGGCCATAAACTCCAATGCTCACAGGTCGCTTAAAGCTAAAAATATGTAATATATTATAGATTGTTAAAATTGAGAAAAAATATAACACATATCTATATAATACCTCTTAGGTATAAAAATGATATCCTCTCCGCAAGTTGTAGATTGTAAGCAATAATGGTCTGGTTCATATGTTGGTTTGTTTGTAATTTGTGATGCATATAAATCTGCATCACCAGTTCTACAGGACGCAAAATATATACAATAAATAAATAGATACATACATACAACATTACATGTATAAGAATGATTCGGACAGAAATGCAAATACTTTATCCAAGCTTTGTGCAGTTAATTTTAAGTGAAAAACAAATTTTGATACGATATATATATCTTGATAACCACCAAAAATTAGATATATAAATGTAACATTTTCCATTTAACATTAACTTTATAACTCATTGGTAAAGTATCTATGTTTCTTCCTGGATTGTCATGCAGATAACTTAATAAACATGTTACATATAAGATATAAGATACTCAGTGTTTATTAACAGGATATAAATACAAGACTACAAAGGAAAGGAAAAATCAATAGTTGTGATATAATTGACACTACTTACAACGAAGTTAATCGTATTTTAATATAACCGTCGTATGTTAGGCTATAATATTTATAGGAGCCACCAGGAACGTCGTCGCTGACATAATGCAGTAATTCCTCATCTATTGCCAATCCGTAAGATATCTGCAAGTTTCACCAAACGACTAAATACATAGTATAAATATTTTGTGAAAATAAGTTTCGATTTCAAAGGGACTTTTTCGGAAGAACGCTTCAGAAATGCACAACATTAGAAGCTCGTCATACCAGTGTTACAAAGAAAATTATTATCTTCATAGTATTATGCATAACATAATCGGCGAAATGTAACGCTGAACTTCTCACAGTATTTCGTTAAACAATCAAACGATTTTTCACGATAGCCGCCCTGATTGTATTTATACACTATGCGTTACGTAAAGCGTATAAAATTGTAATTCGCACACAAATTATTGGCGATGCTTCTGAAACTGATAGCATCAGCTGACTGTAAAAATGGCGCCAAGTTAGTCAAGATTACCGTCACCTTACAGCTTTTTATTTATGCTCGAATAAATAATGACGAATCTTAATAATTCGCTCGATATTAAACTCCACGAGGACACTTTTTTTTTGAGATATTGACAAATGGTATTTAGTATTGATATGATTACCAATTTGGTTAAAATGAGCCAGTGCAAGAGCTGCGAGTATATAGGCAACATAACCAAGTTTAAACGCATTCTGCTTGGATGAGTTTCGTATTGCGAGCAGCAGATGTCACTTGTTGTATTCGCATAGTGAATTTGCTCTTTTTTAGTTGCACTCTCCGTACTTCCTTGCGACACTTCTCCCTCACCCTTTTTTTTGCCGCCAAACTGTGGCACCAACAATATGAAAATGCAGGTAACATACAAATATATATATATATATTTTTTTAAAATAGCTTTCGCACGATATCCTTTACTAAGTAGATATACAAAGTACAACTTTTACATGTAAACAATATGTTTAACGGCCAACGTGTCATATTTCTCTTATAAATCTATTGTAGACGCTTCATATAAATTCTAACCCTTCTCATTTCAAACGAGGTTAATTGGATCACTTAGGGACTATGATCCGTTAGATTCATAGTCGTAGCGAAAGCGTTATATTCCTGTATCTCTCTCTCTCTCTCTCTCTCTCTCTCTCTCTCTCTCTCTCTCTCTCTCTCTCTCTCTCTCTCTCTCTCTCTCTCTCTCTCTCTGTCCCTGTGCGTGTTATACATATACAAAACGTAAAAAGCAAAGCAGATGATTTCGCACAATCTGACGGTCAATGGATGCGATGAACAGCTGGCGAGCGAATATTGCCAACAAAATGCGAATAATCAGCGAGTCTCAGCGCATGAAACGGAGATAAATTCACAGAAACACACGGCGTGTCTCATAAAAACGCTCGGGATGACGCAAAAACAGATGACGAAACGCAAGTCCCCCGGCATAAGTCACCGCGTATCGTTCGACAATACCCACGCTAGGCACCCTTTGCTCGAGATCCTCGCACAACATTCCCCCCCACCGTTCCATATTTATGCTCTTATGCAAATGCTTGCGCGATTCGCTTTATGCATGGCCTACGACAATGTGCAATCCGCATTGCGCGGCTCCCGTTTGCAGACCCCATGACGTTGTAACGCGTAACCGCGATCAACTACGATATCCGGCGGAACGGCTATTAGTAAACGAGGTATAGTAATTACGGACGTGGCAGCGCGAAAGGGCTGCAGTAATTGCATCGAGGGAGACTTAATAATGGCCAATTAAAAGGCGCGCTACGCAACGGCGGAAAAAATATTTCACTTTGCTTCAGGAGACTGCCTCTTTCCCGCCCCTCGTTCGCCGCTGAGACCACCTGACTCTGTGTGTTATCCCTCGCCGAGGTCGTTGTTAACGTGTTAACGCGGGGAAGACGACGGATGTGTACGTACGATGCGATCGTCAACGCGATTTTCCTCTGCCTGATGGAAAACGCGCGCTTTCGCGCGTTCGATCGCGTACACGACATTGTCCGGAAGAGCGGTGAGATTCTTCGTAACAGTGGAACTACATATATCCTATGCAAACAGGTAAGGCGGTATTCAGAAATCTATCTCGATCTCGGCGTGTTTTTTCATTAATAACACACTTTCCCTTATTAACGGAGATATGCGCAGATATCATGCAAAAAGAAATATTCTATTTGTAAAGTCTATTTGTGATTTTTTCCATAGTTTCATATTCCAAGTGAAGCTTTTTACAGAAAAAGGATTCCTCTTTTGATCAAGCGATTAAAGTGAATCATTCATCTAAAATTTATTAGATATTATTCTAACTACTGTTTTCCTCTTATTTTCCTATTTTCCTCTTATATAAAGAGGGATATGTTGATTTGAATGTCGGCTTCTTTTGTTCAGTCATGCTCTTCAGACATGAACGAAAAAATAATCATACGTCCATGGGTCAGAATATCTTTCGGAACGTTTTTTAAAAAAGGTACATATAACGAAGATAATTTATCCATATTTGGTCAAATACAGTTTATAATATATTGCAACAAGTTGAATAATATATTCTTTCTATTAACTATGTTTCATACAATTGGTTATGATGAATATCTTTGTAGCTATGAAGTCTATAACAAAATTGATTGGAAATTTATTAGTTATGATGGTCTTATATCATGCGTGTCTACTTACTAGGAAGTTTCTGTAATACCGTCTCTCAGATACGGTAAACGTTGATTGTGAATGCTATTGGTCACGTACATTGCGAGGTTATTTCTGAGCGAATAACGTTCACGATTTACGTTTACTGTATCTGAGAGACGGTATTGTAAAAACTCCCTATTGTAGAACTGGAGCTATAAGTACATTTATATATATATATATATATATATCTATATTACTTTTCGCTACATATTATAATTTTTTAAAATTAACTAGTATAACCAGTAAGAATAAAGTACAGTAAGAATAAATAATAATCCTCTTAAAAAGAGATTAAATAATCTGTGTATAAGAGGAAATTTATATTAAAATCAATAAGATTTGTATTATATATATAACTCTTCTAACTTTAAGAATAATGTGTTTATAATATCTTCTTCTTAATTTTAGAGGAATCCTTTTGAGACCATATATAAGAATAAAATCCTCTAAAATTTAGATTATTCCGCTTGTTCTGAAATTATTTCTTTTTTGGGTGCAAAACCAAACTTTTTTGGGTTTCGTGTACCGCGAAAATACAAGTTTTTTTATTTTTGTATACGAGGGGTTTCCTCGAGAATAAAAAGAAAATGATTAAGGTAAGGTTAGGCTTTGTCGAGAATCGCGCGAACGCGTGTCGCGTCATCATGTTTATAAAATTCTGCATCGTGCAGGATAGTTGAAAAATATTGAATCTACTGAAATATTAATACTTAGTGCACAAAGAGAAATATTACTGTTAAGAAAAACTATTGCTAAGTGTTTCCTTCTTTTAGATAATGGTTATATTTAACAAACAACATTTTTCCGATGATAGTCTTAAATACATTCGTCACACATTATGAAAAAGTTTATTGTCATGTCCCTCATTCAAAAGAAAAATTTATCAGTTTTTGAAAAATATTATGAAACTTATATTTCTATCTTTATGTAAGAGAAAAGTAAAGCGAGTTTTTGTTTTAATTTAATATTTTTAAAATTTTAATATTATTTTAATATAGCTTCCAATTTTCTTGATTAAAGTACTAAATTTATTAGGGGATTCGGGACGTATTTTGAGTAATTTGGTATTTGTGACAAACTTACGATAGATATTTAAGTTATTATATCGACAATATATATATATATATATATAATTATATAATATTAATATTATGTTAATAATATAATTATATTAATATTTAAATTTATGAGATACTTGAAAAAAGTAACATTTACTTGAACGTAATATATATTTTTCTGCGTACATCAGAAGATTTTAACACAGAGATAAGATGTGTATTCCAAGCCAATCTTCAATTGCGTGTTTCTGCGGCAATATGGACGAGCGACGCTGTCGAATTTTCTATTTCTATCGACAAAGGGCAACGCCCCCCTTTTCGCGCGGAATTTAATTCCTTCCCTTTCGTACGAATCAATCGACGCGACGACGGTTCGCCGTCTATTCCGCGACGTGAACCGAATTTCGACTCTCCCGACAACCGGCGCTCTATAAGTAGAAGCTGTATTTCATCTCTGTCTCGCTTCCAGCGAGTGCACGAATTCTACGGAACCCGCACGACAGTCTCTCTTTCGCACGGAGTACAAAAAGGGATTGCGACGATCCCCTCCACGTTGAGATACAGAGACGAGAGCGCAGCTAAGGACTCCGTTGCTACGCGCGCGCGCGCGCCTTCTCGCCTCCTACGCACACATTCGCCGGCGATTCGTATGCGCATATTCGTATACACCGGTCGTAAGCAGTCCCTCGGCCGTGGTGAATCAAGCCTAAGGGTAGCGAAGGAGGGGTGCTCGAGCAGCGGCCGAGAGGGGAGTGTGGTGTAGGGTCAAAAAATGCGAGGCTGCGCGCGCAGCCGCTTTGTCTCTCTTGCCGCGGCGCGCGCGGTGGTGGGGGTTGCGCTCGGAGCCACGAGGGGGCACCATGGCAGAGCAGCGGCGCTTGTATCCTTTCAGTCGGCCGCTGAACCCGCGCGCCGCACGGTTGGTACGTTTAGTGTCCGCGTCTCTGCGTTCGATTCTTCGTTCGTTCGTTCATTTCGCGTACCGTTCTCGCTCCGTTTCTGCTCGCCGTCATCGTTGTTGTACCACGTAGCCACGTATCTCACACCGTGTCCTTACGCGACGGAACCGGCTCGCGTTCAGTGAGACTCTCTCGTCCTTTTCTCTGTTCTCTCTCTACTCCGGCACTGACCGACCGTCCGTCCGTCCGTTTGCCCGTCCGTCCGTCCACACATCCGTCAGTCTGCCCGGAGGTGTTTGATCTGAAGAGGAGAGCAGCGGCGGACCCGGCCACCACACGGACCCGGCTGGGCTCGAGATACCCCCCTTGGATTTTCAACGGCTCCTCGTACCGCGGTGGATCGTCGCAGCACGCGGCCGCAACGCCGACGCGAATCTCTTCTGCATGGTGAGTACATGCACAATGTACCGACGCCACAGTAACCGGCCGCGTCGAGCGGCTCGCCGGCTGGCGATTTTAAAGGACGGTCGAAGAGACAAGTGCTCGCACGGGAATCGTATCCTCGCGTCCTCGCGCGAAGGTCGAACGGGCCTCGTTAGGCGGTAAATCGCCGAGCAGCAGCTGGCGGGCGCAGTCCGAGCGGCGCGGCGGGAAGTGGAAGCGAAATCGGCGTTTTTCAAAATGCAAATGGCGATAGTTTTCGTCGTGCACTTGCCCCCTCGATCGAGTTGTTTGAACGTTCAAATTCTGATCATGCGCTATCTCGCGAAATGACACGCGAGATTCTTCGAGATGGTGTTTACTGATTTCTTTCTTCCTCCCTCCCTCTCTCTCTCTCTCTCTCTCTTTCTCTCTCTCTCTCTCTCTCTCTCTCTCTCTCTCTCTCTCTCTCTCTCTCTCTCTCTCTGTCTTTCTCTTTATGTGTGTGAGCCCGCGAGGTAAGAAACAAACGGAGAGAAAGAGAGAGAGAAAGAGAGAGAGAAAGAGAGAGAGAGAGAAACTATCGCGTCCTGTCGTTGGAGCGCGTCCAAACTCGCGCGGCATCGAATGAGTTAGCACGTTTGCACCGCCGGTTATCTACGGTCTATCGGGTCACGACACGATTTTCATTGCCGGTGTGTATGTGTGCGCGCGCGGCCATTATAATTCAAGCGTCCTTTTGAGAGGGAGCGAAGTGGAGGAGGCAGGTTATGCTTCTCTTTGCACTCATGATGTGTCGGTCGAAAGAGAGTCGCTTCTCTTACGGCCCCGGCTTGTAATACGGTGGCAGAACGAATTCGCGGTCAGCCGCGATAAACAAGAGATCGCTCGCTTATAAATAGAAACAATTGAACGCGAGCGGTGCATCGGCGGAACCGAGGAGGGAAACTACGGACGCGCGAGTGTTCGTAGAAGCAGACAGACCAGGCTGAATTATCGCCCATATCCGAGTCGCGCAGATTTAGCGGCGGCTGAGCGTTGCGCGGTTTTGCGAAAATCGTGTTTCACGGCGAATGCACGAGCAGGCTAGTTTTCGATTCGCCAGAAAATAAGCGCGTTACATGACGGAAGTCGCGTGACATCTGCGTTTTCTCGGCTTTCCCGACCTCGGCGATCGACCGAGATGATGACGCTCCCGCCGATTTAAATCCATATCAGCGCGATCGGCCGTGGACCGTTTCATCGCGAGACGCTTATTCGGCGTATTTCCCCTCCCTCTACGTGGATACTGAGATTCTGCCGTTTGCGCGGCATTTTTTATCCATTGAAACGAGCACTCTTCCTCGACGAAGATATCCTGTCGCGTTGTTCGGCGTGATTTTCACAGTCGTTGCCCCGCGCTCGTTCGGTCGAGCCACAGAGGACGTTGATATACACACACCTGCGTGTCACGCGCCGTTGGCGCGTAAATCTCAAAGAAAACCATAAACAAGATATCAAACGAGAGAGAAAACGACACGAGCACGGCGACCAGTGTATAACTGCGACGCCGAGATGAGAATGTTTACATACGTACAGGGTCAGTGATTCTCGGGGCAGGGGGGAGATGAATGCCTGAGTGATCGAAATTATCTGAATAATTGGATATTTATTTATACACGTCCTCCCCTCTTGTTGAAATTCACACGAATAGTCGGAGCAGCGGCGGAGGTTCCTCGAGATTCGACGTTGCGACTCGAGAGCTCGTCGCTTCCCGTTTTCGCGGATCGCCGCGCCGCGCCGGCGGCGGGCGGATCGCTCGGCGAGAATTCCTCGCCGAGCGAGGAAACCCGTAACGGAAAGGACGCGGTTTCGGGACACCGCATATACCGCCGACGATAAAAGCTCTTTCGCGGCGCGACTCGCTAATGAGCTCACCGCGACGAAAGGGAACGGCCGTGCGCGCTCGCCGGGTTTTCACACGTGTGCGCGAACGCGAGCAAAAGTGACGCAACAAAGAAAAAGATGTTCGCTGTCGCGCTCGCGCGCGGAATAAGGCCGGGCTTTTCGATTCCGCGTAAAACCGCACGCTCTCTCGCATGCGACGTGCTCGAGTCGCGCGCGGCCGCCCTGCTGATGTTTCCGTCGCGTCGCGACGGTGCATTAGCGCGAAAATGCCGGCGTCGCCTTCGCTGCGAATGTTAACTTCTTAGCAGCGCCGCCACAAAGGGCGTCAAACGATAAAGCGCAATGTCGCGCGGGTTCTTTGCGCACAGAATATCGTAGTAAAAATTGCGCCAAGGTTGTACTCCTTCTTTGCGATATTTTTCCTAAAGCCGGGTCTTATCTTTCATATTGCGAATTACTATAGGAATAGTAAGTAAGAAGAAACAAAAGAGCAAAATATTAAGTACGATGCTGGGGCTTTCACCAAAAAAAAAATAATTTCAGAACAAGCGGAATTATCTAAATTTTTTAAGGATTTTACATATGGTCTCAAGAGGATTCTTCTAAGGATTTTTTCTAAGATTAAGAGAAAAATATAAACACATTCTTAAATTTAGAGGGATTATATGTTATATATATAATACAAATCTTATTGATTTTAATATAAGTTTCCTCTTGTGCACAGATTATTTAATCTTTTTTTAAGAGGATTATTATTTATTCTTATTGATTATACTAGTTGAAAAAATTATAATGTATAGCAAAAAGTAATATATATATATATATATATATATATATATATATATATATATATATATATGGATGTACTTCTGGCTTCCGTTTTACAATAAATAGACACGAATAAAATAAAATTATCATAACAAACAAATTTCCAATCAATTTTGTTATAGACTTCATAGCTACAAAGATGTTCATCATAACTAATTGTACGAAATGTAGTTAAAAGAAGGAATATATTATTCAATTCCTTGCAATAGATTATAAATTGTATTTGGCCGTATATGGATAACTTATCTTTGTTATATGTTACAGCAACACACATACTTTTTTTAAAAAGCGTTTCAAATATTCTGACCCATGAGCATACGGTTATTTTTTCGTTCATGTCTGGAGGTAGAGCATAACTGAATAAAAGAAGTGGGCATTTAAATCAACATATTCTTCTTCAAGAGGAAAACTAATTGATATAAGAGGAAATGCTCTTGAAATAAGAGGAAAGCAGTTAGAATAATATCTAATAAATTTTAGATGAATGGCTTCACTGTAATCGCTTTCGTATCGAAAGAGGAATCCTTTTTCTGTAAAATGCTTCGTTTAGAATTTGAGATTATGGGAAAAATCACTTTACAAATAGAATATTTTTTTTTAGATATTGCGAATTATTACAGGAATAATAAATAACAAGAAACAAAAGAGCGAAACATTAAGTACGATACCGGGGGCTCTCCATTCAGTGACACAAGTTGACATTCGCGAGCATCCTTCTATCCTTGTCGCGTATGAATAATAAAAGTAGAACGCGCGCGCGCACGCGGCGCTTGCTTTGATCGACTTGCCTCACTAAATGGAAAGCGTTGATCGCGTAGCAGAGAGTGCGTAATATTTTGAAAAAAAAACGTGCAGTAAGCTCGGTCATACTTCTGCGTGACCCGAGATTGCAAAAGTTTTGTTGTAATCTTTACCACAACATTTCCCTATAGAATCTATCGCGCGTCGAGCTGAAATAGCCTCGACGCCGTAAACGCGCGCAGATAATCCCTACGGGATCGCGCAATTATTATGCAATTATTATCATTACTGTCGTCGCCGTCGCCGTCGACGATCGGCGATCGGCGATCGCGCGCCGGGATAAGCGCGTTTCCGCGTATCGATCTGCGCGAGAAAGTCATCGCGGATCGATGATCGACGATCCGCGAGCGGGGTCGGTGATGACGTGACGTAACGCGACATTTTCAACGGGCTTTCCGCTTCCCTCACGAAGCGGCCAGTTTTCCTTCGGCCGCGGTTTATCGGCGATTTTTCGACGCGACCAGATGCATATCGGGACGCGTGTAAATGTAGAAGCCGCGCGTGATCGCCCCGCCGCCGCGCCGCGCGCGTTGAATAACAACGCCCCGGCGCGCTCGCTTCCCGAGAGAGGGCACAAAATTGCGCGTGTCTCGCATGATATGTAATCGTAAATGCCGCTAAGAATGGAATTAGCATTATAAGAAGCTTATAATATAACGCTGCGTACGTGCGTGTGCGCGCGCGTACGTTTTGCGTGTATATGTGTGTGTGTATGTGTCATGTGTCTTACATGCGCGGCTTCTTCCCTCGTGCCTCGTTACTTCCTCCGGACACGAGAGACAATGAAAAAAAAGGGCAAATTATAGGCTGCCCCGAGTATGTCTTCATGCGCGTGTACGAAGTCTTCATCGAGCCCTTAACACGTCCTCAGGAATTAGGGCTCGCCCGGCGGCGTACGTTGACTCGGGTGACACGGTTCAACTTTTTTCCCCTTTCTCACGTATTATACTTTATTGCGCAATATAAAATACACGTATACACGAGAGAGAGAGAGAGAGAGAGAGAGAGAGAGAGAGAGAGAGAGACGATTCTCCTCCGCGCGCTCATATTATTATTGTTCTTTGACTTATCGGTGTAGCCGAGACGAATCGTTCTCTGGCTGCGTCCCTATAGGCAATAATTGCAGATTGTCGGAACATTTAATGTACATCTTAATAAAACGTCGGTCGCGCTGCTGAAATTAAAGGCGCAGCATCGCGCCGCGATGTTTGTGCGTTTCCTTCCGTTCCGATCGCGCGCCCGGGCAGTCTTAATAACACAAGTCATCAATAATCATAATTTCCGTATAACCGCCGTAATTGCGGCAGAGCGAAAGAGAGACAGACGGCATTCCCACCGCGTGGCGAAAGCCACTGTTCGTGCTCTCAAGTCGGCAATTAAATGCGGGGTTGCGTTTCCACGCTCTCTCGGCTGTTAACCACGTCAATTATCAATAAGCGCAATTTGCAGCTACGAGCCGTAACCGCTCCATGTACGTGGAGCGTCGGCGTGCGTGTACGTCGCGGCCGGGA